GGGGGGGGGGGGCAGCTTACTCAGATTTGCCTCAACTTGACAATTAGCTACTTTGTTAGCATGCAGGTCACACGTTTGCCATAAGAGCTAGAAAAAAGAATACTTGGTGACATACTAGTTTCCATTGATGTATCTGGCACTCAACTTTTAGGGGGTCATCTTTTTTTTTTTCTATTCCAAACACGTGGTGTTTTTGACATCTTGTTATTGTATCTGTTATCCTGTTTTATACAACAGTTAGTTCCGACCGAGTAATTTGATTAGAGGAGAGGCATTCCATGAGTGCTGATATAGAGTAGGCTTATAACATCACTGGGACTTGTAACAGTAAAATCACTCCGCTCACAGGTGTTATAAATATAAATAGGCCTACTACAACCGTTAATTAACCAACTGTCACACTCGCTACATTGACGCAAACTGACACTATAGCGTTACACCAAGAAGATGCTATATTTTCCCCAAAATTACATTTGAATTAAATTATGAGTGGTTGTCAGGAGAGGACGAGGAAAAGGAAAGCCAGGACTCTTCTGTGCAGACCTCCAGGTGTGTTTGTGTAACATCAGCCGACCTCGACAAACTGGAGAGGAGCAAAAATTAAGCGAACACGGTCAGGAATTATAGGGTGACCATATTTTGATTTCCAAAAAAGAGGACATTCGGCCGGCCACGAAATAGCCTACTTAAATGATACTCGCAGCTTACTCAAAGATGCCTTATCATTTTAGTATATTTAAAATTTATATGTATGGATAGAAAATTCAGTTATATTACAAAATAATATTTCTCAAAGACAGAAATTCAGATAGGCCCCAATAGGGACACATACACACACTAGAGTGTGGCTACCCGATCCAAGCCCGACGGTACCCGACGGGTCGGCCGGGTTTGGTTAAAAATGTAGCTATAAATTGTATTAGGGCTCGGGTCGGATTCGGTCAGCTTTCAGTGAAAATATAGTGTAAATGTACTGTTTATTGCTTGGGCACTGTTATTTACGTGACAACACCTGAACATAACACACACAGACACACATTGGCTGTTTGTTTCTACCTCTCCCCTCGCTGGAAGTCTCGGACCTCCCGCCTCCCACTCCCGCCTCCCACTCCCGTCTCAAACATGAGGTCTCCCTCTCCGCTGAGCACGCCCGGCCTGTTAAATAGCCTGTAACCGTAACAACTGTGTGACACAAACTCAGTGCTTTGGTCATTAAATAATGTCGGGCTCGGTTCGGGTTTGGACAGAAATATGTGGTCCGTGCCGCGCTCTAACACACACACACAAACACACGGAAAACCGGACATTATCATCAGTTTATAAAAAAACCCCGGACGGGACGTGAAAAGTGGACATGTCCGGGCAAAAGAGGACGTTTGGTCAGCCTAGGAATTATCAATGATCATCTGATGAGGTACTGATGACGAGGTAACTGGACGAAGTTACAGTTGCAGATCAATGTAAATACAAAGTAGCTTGTGTGAGTTCCTGGCATGTGTGCTGCATTGCCTGGCAAGAGGCGCTTTTGGTGTGAATGCACAGTAAACTAGAGCACTCGCAGAGCGCAGTCCTCCGCCAAGCAGCTTGGATTTCCCGCCATCTTATTTTTTTATCCACTTCACTTTAGCCAATCACCACCAAAATATCATCTGTATCATCTGTTCCTTGTGCCATTATCAACCTTTCCTGAAAATTTCATCAAAATCCGTTCAGAACTTTTCGAGTTATTTTGCAGACAAACAGACCAACGCCGGCGAAAACAGAACCTCCTTGGCGGAGGTAATAAAAATGTATTTCATCACCTTTTGTTAACATTTCCTTACTTTGTTAACATTTCCTTACTCAGTAATTGTCCTCGGCATGACCGAATCACAGCCGTGACGATATACAGTACAACATCACTCCCTCTCGTCTCGTGTGATATTGCTTAAGTAGGCTATGTGATCAAACTGTTCTAGTTTCAGTAGTGCTGGAAGGCTGTGGACATTACATGAGAGCAAGTTTTCCCCTTACTACCACACCAGGAGTGTGGTAGTAGGGGGAAAATGGAACTGATTCCCCAGGGCCCCAGTGGGTGGGGGTCCTTAAAACCATAGAATGAAAAGTTTGGTTTTATTTGCAGTTTTACATTTCAAAGTAATTAGTGCTCTACTAGTTTAAAATTGGCTGAAAAAATCAATTAAATGATTGAATTTTATACAAGAAGTAGTGAGAGCTCTCTGAGGCTCCTCTCACCCCTTAAAGACACAAAATGGTTTAGTCTGCGCCTGCATAAGATTTGTCTTTAAGTACAGCTGGAGCCGTGTGAGTGACTGCTTCTCCTGCTGAAGCACCAGCGTAGACTGTGATATATTCTTTCACCAAGAAAGGGAAATAGGGTTACAAACATAAGAAAGAAATAAGAAAGGGCAAGAAAGCAAACTGACCTTGTAACAAAAAAAACAAAAAGGTACATGAGAGAGACATGGATCAAGAGAGGAAGGGTGAGGAGCCCAGAGAGAATGCTTATACATAGGGTGCTATTCCCCTGCATAAAACTATCAATAAACTATCACACCTTGTTTGAGAATAAATAAAATCAACTAAAAGTAATTTGTTTGGATGCATTATGATTTAATAACCCACAATTCATTGCAATATGGATGTGACATTGTGGGTTTTTCAACTGCCGAAAAAATGGTTGTGTAAAATAGTTATTGATAGTTAGGCCTATAAAATGTTACTTGACTTGTGTAGGCCAGAAATGATATTCAGTCACATCATGATACAGAAATATGTAGAAGTGTAGGCTGTAAAGGGCCTGAAAATACAATTTTATCATTGCAGTCTATCAGGCTGCGCAGTGTAATAGAATAAAAAATGACTGAAAAATAACAAAATAAGATCTTCTAATGCAAGTAATGCCCAATTTATTGAGGTATAGTACTGTCCTTATTTACAAACATTTCTGTTTTTGAATACATGTAGCCTGTATGTTATATAGAGATGTATTAATACTTTTTTGTTTAGTCACAAAAGAAGGCTATACATGGGAAATACATATCTTGTTATCTGCAGGAACAGATGAGTAGGCACTATTCATCAACTTATACAGCCTGTATATGACTATGACAGCAGCGACAGTTGACCGTTTTAACGGCAAGAAGTAAAACAGTCTTGAGGGCTGTCTATCTGCCGCTTGTAGTCTCTGCCCTCACAGACTTTACACGATGACAGTAATACGTCACAAATACAAATTTGATTTCAGCCTCCGACTTGACAGCAGCTTGTTGTCACCGCCTTCCGCTGCATCCTCCTGCTCTCGTCCACTTTCCAAGCAAGGCACAGTCCATCTCCAACGAGCCTACTGATGAGTGAAGATGACATGATTCTTGCAGTTAACTTATCACTAACTCCCGGACTTTCCTCCTCTCACACACATTGGCTTACACTGGCAGACTTGCTCCCTTGTTTGATAACTTAAAAAAAAACCCAAAACAAACAAACAAAAAAAAAAACGTCTGCAAAGTTTTACATTCATAGCAAAGATGTAATTTTTGTAATTACAACTTGAAAACTTTCGGGCAGGGTTAGCTCTGCTGTGATATCTGTTCATTGCTGCAAGGACATGTTTCTTTAAGATGAATGAGAATAAAATTATACTTTGAAGATGTTTTACATAACAAGAAGTAAAGATTTTAGAGGCAGCATCACAAGAAAATGACAAACTGTTTTTCATCCATTGCCAGCAGTGTTATATCCGGTAACATGTTACACTCTACTTCTGCTTTTCTTTGTGCTGCCATGCTCCGAACTCTTCCTCTCTGCTGCACAGAACGGTTTCACACAGGAAGGCGATGCAACTTACAACACAATCAAATACAGTCTTATAAATTGTTTCAATCCTGTTTATCTACTGAAGCAGATGGTAGGGAACACAGAGAGAGAGTAGAGCTGATGAGACAGGGGAGAGAAGGGTTTAGTTGGATTTGAGGTTCAGACAACTGCAGTACTGGATGAAGGATTGAACCACCAAATGATGACCGGACGAAGTGTGAAGGTATGTTACCAGAAGATTGGATGGAGAATCGTAAGTCTAGTTTCTGGAGATGTTATGGAGCAAGCTGAATTCAAAGGTTTTTATAATTTAATGACAACATTTAGATAGTGCCACCATATTGATGTGCTTTTTAGCATTAGCTTTCTGGCTAGCTAACAAGGCTGTTGTCTGTCCTGTAACATCTAATGCATTTGACTGAGAAATACATTGTTACGATCGTAGAAAATTGTGATAGTGCAACCACTTATTGGGGTTGCATTTTAAATTGGGGCAACCATGATGCACCATATTACCACTGTCTGCAACTTATTCATTCATTATTCTATCATTTTGCCCCTCTGAAGTTTCAGCATTTTTTTGAAAATGTCTATCTTCACCACCACTGCCATATCATGCTGTCCTTCTCCATGCAGTTCCCATGTGTCCATGTCGTCCCTTGTAGTGCTGAAACAGTTGGTTTACTGTCATATCCATTTATGTATCAGCACAAATGCCAAACATTTGCTGGTACCAGCTTCAGTAGCATCAGATCTAAATCTAAACAAACCCCAGTACCCCACAGTTGTGTCACATTAGCCCCTGAAATACCCTGAATGCACCATGATGTCAACTTCCAAGTCCGTTGTTTTAGTATTGCTGACCTACAACATGAGCTATCCTACCCAGTATATTCTCAGTTACATTAACAGACCCTTAGCTGTGTTTCCTTACACACACAGAAACTCCCATGTGCGCACACAGAAGCAGCTGAGATGACAGCAACTGTGGCAGCATGTGTGGTTGAACAGTGTGGCTGCTGATTGGACAGTGAAGGTGGTAGGGGGGAGTTCATGGCAGATCTGTCCAGGCTGGAGAGCAGAGGCTCCTATTTTTACCCCGGCTCAGCACCTTCATATCACAACAGCTGTCCCCACAGCTCTTGTCTGTCCACTGTCAGGAATAGCCAGCCTATCAGAGTGCTCCCCCTCTTTTCAGCTCTGCTGTTTCACTTTCCGCTGTGCGTCTCAAGCTGCTTGCTCAGATCTCCTCAACTTTGGCCAGTTCTTGATTTGATCTGTGACTAGTGGGGACTAATTGGACAAAAGAGTTGTGGAATTACTTCACTTACAGGTAGAACAATTTGTGATCACTTGTATGGAAAGTAGGATATTTTGTTGAAAATCTAGTGTGGGACCTTGAGGTCCCACAGCCGATGGCACTATTTTTAGACAAGAGTTAGCTCACAGGGGCAGCTTGAGTGGTTTTCCAACTAAATGTAGCATTTTACAATAGCAGCTTTTGTGTCATTGTGATAGTTCCTCTTTACATACTCAGCTGTTGATCAGTAAGAGTGGTAGAGTTTAAAAGAATAATGTGTGGGATGTCAGTTTGGCTGGTTTGAAGAGGTGGATACATGCTTAGTGGGAGCCTATGTGCTAGTGTGTGAACTGATGGGAAATGTAGTTGAAAATGCGGTTTAGTCATGATGTGTTTTAAGTTCATGTTCAACATGTTGGGTCATTAGTTGTGGTTGTCTGGTAAAGTATTTATTATATGTATTTTACTTTGACTTTTCATTTGTTTTATTTTGGAACAATCATGTTCAGACTTAATGTAGAGCTATTCAGTTTTATTGTTTTTTTGGACTTAAGGTCAAGTTGTATCAAGATGATTCTATATTACCATCATTCTACTAATATCTGATGTTGAGTCTGTATTTTACAAAAGGAAAAGTTTGTTCTCATGTAATACTGTGAAACACAGTTTTTAACATCAGTTTGATTATTTTCATGTTGTTTGCATACAAATTCCATATATGAAAAATCTAAAAATACCTTAATTGTTGTAAGATGATTTCAGCCATATTGCATTTTCATAATTCCCTAAATTATGGCCGAGGATTAGGATTTTTTCAGTTTTCCACCAGTGGCCGACTTGTTCGACCATGAAAACACAGCCTCTCTCTTTCTTTCCTCCTACCACCTTCTTGGAAAGGTTGGTGTTGTGATATTTGTGCGTATTCAAAAACCTATTCATTTCCAAGACTTATATAATGTTTGAAAGTAGGTGTGTTTCTCTTTCCAACTAGAAAATTTGGGGTTTTCTTTTCGGCATGCATCTCTACACCAGCCTTACAAAATTCTGGCTGATTGGTTTGTGTACAACACACAGAGCTGACCGTAAACAGGCAAGAGGCCGTGTGTCGCAAACTGCTGTAAAACAAAAACCCCAGTTGAGACGCATATTTCAAATGTACTGTATACATGTTCAAAGATTGCTCCTTAAATCCGAATAATACTGGCAAATCCCGCGTCTTAATCAGAAAAAGGTACTCTTGGAGTTAGGCCTAATTCTGAATATCCAAACGAAGTATGACGTTTACATGACCTGCCTCAAATGCAGAATTTTGTCATATTCATGATAATGGTTGAATATTAGTGTGCAAGAAAACATAGTCATTGTAATAAATATATGATATGCTGAGATTTCTGACATGCTAATTCACTCTGCAGTAATATTATCAGATGATGTCTGTGATGGTGAAATATAAGAGGTAGCCTATGTTTTATTGGAGTTGTTGTTTTGCAGGCGAACCCAGATTAGAGGTCTTTAATAGGTCCCTAGTATCTGAGACCTGACCCACCCAGGACCGGGACAAATTAGGGGCCTGTTGTGTTTCTGCAGATTTCAAATCTGTGTGTCAATATGTCTAATAGCTGAGTGGACCCAAGTGAGTTCTGTAATAGCTCAGACATGCATTGTTGCCGTTTTCTTTCTAGATAGGTCTGTTTCAGATGCTGTCTACCTATACTTTGGTGTATAGGGTCTGGGTCTGACTGTCCTTAGGTCCTTTTTAGATTGGGTCTCATTTATTTGAAAATAGATTTATGCATGTTGGGTTTGGTTTTGTATATGCATGGCTCTGCTTAAGCTCAGGCCTGCTGTTCCTAAGGTATTACCAGTCCATTACAAACAGGGATTTGGCCTCTCCACAGTCAGCGTTAGTACAGAAAGAAGCAGCTGCCTGTGTCTTGTGGGATGTCATGTTTGAGCTTACCTTTTGCTTTGAACTCTGTCGTGTCCATTCCAATGACATGCTGACTTATATTGTGCACATTTGCCATTTGAAGGAAAAAAACTTGGGTCACATGAGGTCCACAGGTAATACCAGACCAAAGCAAAAAGGCATCCATTGCACATGATAACAAGTAATGTAGTTTGTGTTTGAATAATGATTGGTCCAGTACTAATTGTAAACCCAGAGCTTAATTCAGAAGAACTGTAGCTTGAAAGGAGTTTTTCAAAACTCTTGATCATTATGTGTAGGGATGGGAATCACCAGAGGCCCCATGATAAGATAGCATCACAATTCGTAAGTCATGATACAGTATTATTGCAAATTTAAATATGTTGCAATATGATGAGCATTGCGATAAAATATATTGTGATATATTGCAATTTATTACCTTTTTTCAACTGCAAATTCTGTCCAAAAAGGAAAACTTTGTCAACATCTAATAAGATAAAGTTTTTAGTCTGTTCATCTCACTTCAGTCAATTTATGCAGCAAAATGTATCTAGTTAAATGAAAAGAAATAAATTATATTGTTCTAGTAGGCTACCTAAAGTTCATTTTGTATTCGTAATATTAATAATTTATATTATCAAAAAATCTGTACTTGACATCTGTGTAACAATATGATATTACCATACAGAAATATTGCGATACTATGCTGTATTGACCTTTCCCCCACCCCTGTTGTGTGTGTACTAAGTCTAAGTTAACACTCATACATACAGAATTTAAAAGAAAAGACATTTCCATAATATTTGAAAATAGATTTTTCTGTGACAAATGCATTAGTAGTCTTTCCTTCAAGCAAGTTTATTAATGAGTTCAAGAATAAAAGTCAAGCAAGTTCCTACAGACATGGAAACAGAAATGTTAATTTTGAAAATATTGCACTCTGAAATGTTCTTACATTCAATGTTTTCCAGTGAGACAATAAGGTAATATGGGTTGATAGCTGGTGTTGAATTGTGACTCACTTATTTTAACATCTTAGTATTAAAAACAAGATGTTTGTGATGTGTGACATATGACTTAAGCACCACCTATGTGGGTTTAGGGAGTAATCTGGCCCACAGCCCTACAGTACCACTGTCTAATCCAAAAATAAACCTGTTGGTCAGTGTGCTAATTTAGTGACCACTGATAAAAGCCACTAACCCAGAGCCAGACCTGGACACTGTCACATATGCAGTGAAAGGCTAAAGGCTTCCAGTCCAAGTCAGATTTGTAGAGACAAGCTTTGTTCTGTTTTGTGTAAAAATGAACAAGGCAGAAACCCTCGACTAAATCTTTTGATTTAGAGTGTAGTGTACAGACATGTCCAGAGACAGTGTGATTGAAATCCCAAAAAGGACACTGACTGTTTAAGATTAGGGTAAATATTTTGTTTTACTACTAATGTGAAAGCAACTGACAGTGACAGTTTACACAAAATCAAGATTAAGCATGAAAGACTGCCCAGTCCAAAAGTGGGCTTGCTTCTAGATGAGACCAGAGGCTTGAGTTAGCCTGAATCTGTTGATTACAATGCAGCTCAAATAGGGCTGGGCCATACGGGTAAAATCCTCTGCAGATGGATTATATGGAGATATAGTTAGTTTTTTTACAGGTACAGTTTAAAAAAAGTACATTTAATGGCTGATTAGGCTTGGGCTTTATCAAAATTGTAAAATTTTCATACCTTACTGAAATTTCACCACGGTATACAGTAACTGAAGGTATTAGTGTATAAATAGTGTAGAGTAAATACACAGTAGAAACTCACAAAATGTCAAAGAAGGCATATTTTACACATGTTTTATCATTATTAAACAGAGAAATGCAGTCATACAACTTTTTGAATTCAAGTTTTTTCTCTTTGACCAAACTATACTACATTAATCGCCTCATTAACTTGCAATAAAACACAACATTAGTTAGTCCGCTGTTCCAACAATCGGCACCTCTGGTTTGGTAGAAAAAACCCTGTAATTCACCCAGTTAGATGTAACAATATGTTGTTTTCCCCGTAATCTCTCTTTCTGCTGTTGCTGGCCAGTTGTTTACAGTCCTGTAATGTTATCCCCACCACCACCAGTTGCCTGTTCCATCAGTAGAGACTGGAGACTGACCTCTTGTGTCGTGTGCTGTACTTTATATACAATGAGTATACTAGAAAGAGAAGTGCCTGTATTTTTGATGGTGTTGAAAATCTTATTCTTGGGTTTTTAAATACCCTGGTATACAGTAATACAGTGATACCACCCATGCCTATGGCTAGTCTAGTTTTTTGAATATCAGACAAGTCAAAATACTTAATTACATATAGATCTAGGCTATAAGATCTAGAAATTCAGTTTTACCATAAACACCAATATATACAGTATGGGAAGATCCACAGCCATAGAGATTTGGCATTTTGTTGTTGCTATTTAAGAAGTAGGCTACCAGGGGGTATTCCATCAAGCAGGCTAAAGGCAAATCCAAGCTTAAATGGCCAAGTCTGGCTAATGTGAGCCAGAGTTCTGTTCCATCAAAGTGGCTAAGATTAGCCTCACATCGGTAACCATGGAAACCATGTTTCTGGCTAAGCCTGATACACCAAGCTAAACTCTGGTTTCTGTTCCATCAACCTGAGCCACAACTCTGTTCCATCAAGGTGGTTAACCCGAATCCCAGCCTAGTAACCATGGTAACTTATGCTGCCAGGCAATCCTGGTCTGTAGCAGGATTCAGGTGAGGATTAGCTCCATCTATGATCAAAAAATGTTCAATAGACAAGAACAGACACCTAAAAGACAGTTCTGCCAGTGCTTTTACACACTCACAACTGTCATGTAATGATAAAATAATATGTAGATCATAAAATATATAACATAATTAATAAAAAAAACTATTCAAAAACAAATTAAAATGTAATAAGAATAAGATAATTAAAAAAAACACAACAATAAAGCCAAAATCAAACTAATAAAAACAAAACTATAATAAAATGAAATTGAGGCATTAAACAAAGATTGTATATGTACACCAAACCACATGAATATGTGATTGCCCTCCCATCCCCACCCCACACTGTTTCCAATTGGCTAGCAAATTCACAGACAATTAAGGTCAGCTGACAACGGTCATATAAGGAGTGCATCCAAGAGAAGGAGAGGGACACACCAAGAGAGACACAGAGACAGAGCAAGAAGGAGGAGATTAGGAAGTAATGGCATGCCCCTTCATCGGGGATCCTGCTGATGAGGAGGCCCACATTGTCCATAGGGCCTTCCAACCACCACCAGCCCCATGGGTCTTCCAGGACAGGACCAACCCATTGATACAGACAGACTCCTATCTGTGGGAGAGGTACTGGTTCGGTATCTGTGCAGTTTGCTGGAACCACACATTATAAAGGTCACAGCCGTAGCCGTCTCTGACCACTGTGCAGTCAGTCTGTATTGCACTGAGGTTCTTTGCTAGCGGTACATTCCTGTATAGTGTTGGTGATGCTGAGAGACTTAGTAAGGCAACTGTGTGCAGAGAGGTAAAAACAGTGAGGGATGAAAATGGGACACACACTGTTGTGGTTTGTCTGTTCCTCATCCTATAGCACATTCCATACATTTAAGGGGAGTTTCCTTATTTTGATATAATCAGGGATAGAGCTTACAATTGACTCACATATGATGAGAAATAGATAACTGATTCACAATCACCTGCATTCACTTAATAGTTTTCCTCATCTCCACTGAACTGATGGATTTGCTAAATGTCATTTTCTACATTCAATAGATAAATGTAATGTGATTATTTCCTATAAACTGATCATTTCGGAAATGTCAAAATCTACAATCAGTTATGTGATAAATGTGATGATTCACATACAGTAGTTTGATTAAATGCATCATCTGAAATTTACATAGGAATCAGTAGATAAATGTGATAATAGTCTATCACTAATATTAATTTACACATGTGGTGAATTTCATCAGGCATACTTGAATTGTTAGATTTAATAGGTGTTCTTAGATACATATATTTTGTCCCTTTGATGCGGGATTTATATAACATGATATTATGCTGAAATACTGAATTTTCTGTGTCACTTACACATTTAGCCTGTCGGCAATATTCCGCCACGCCACCTCCCTTGCTTTATTAATTGCTGCAGTATTGCCTTTTTCATAATTATGTCCTTATAGTCCTCATACATTTCCATAAGGAGCGTTTGCTCCGCCATAGAAAAAGCCTCCGCTCACTCCTTTCCTTTGCTTTTTTGACATTTTGCAACATTTTCGGCACTCGACTAGTGTGGGCTTTTTATTTTCCCTGGGTGTGTGCATGAGTTGAGGCTTAACAGGTAAGGCTTGAATTAGTGTCAATTGGAGCCAGCTGATTTCACTTGATGGAACAGGTTGGTGCTAGATTGGGAGTTGGCGTTTAGTCAAACTTCAAGTTTACGCCTTCGTCTGGATATTCTTAGCTACGATGATGGAATACCCCCTTGGTCAATACCAGCTCACAATTTGTTTTTATTTACCATTCAGCGCTCCCAAGAGCATTGTGCAATATTATGTTGAAGTTAGATGACAATGTTTGATCCCTTTTTACAAGGCCTTTTAAATTTTTTGAGTGTGGAGTATTTTTGCAATTTGTGTTTTCATTTGTCTAAACCTTGTCTAATCTTCTGTTCATCACTGCTTTGCCATCAGCATGTGGCTCTGCCTACATGGAAAAATTCAATGGTCTCTGTGGCCTACAAATGCTCATGTCAGTTCATCTGTCTTTGTGTATTCTCACCATTCTGTCTTTCCTAGCTCCCTTCCACCTCCTCTTCCTCCTGCTCTCATCTCATCCATCTCAGCCCATGACAACAGATCAGCCAACATGGCTTTCTCATCTCGCTTTTCCTTCTGGGAGCAAAAGGGAAGTCTCATTTGGACATTTCATAAAGCACTCTTAAACTGCATGGTCCTACAGTGTTTAACACTGTGTATTAATGTGTGTTTTAACATACGTGTGGCCTTTGCTTGCATCACACTAAGAATTTGATGGCTTTCACAATCAGGTATAAGCATATGTTATAGTAGCTGTGACTTTGTACCACCTTTGCCATTTGACGGCGTTAACCAATGCAATTTTAATGCATTTTTAGTTGTTGAATTAATTGGAAAGAGTTTTTGCATTTAAAGAAAGATTCTGATGTTCAAAAATTGGTTTTATGCCAAAGATCAGAAAATTTGCATGTTCTAAAATTTGCACGGTGTGTGATGGACAACAGCTAGTGTTGAGGTTTTGATCTAGTTGTCTTTTTATATCAACACATTTAGATCAAAGAAGATAACAAGCCAGGAATCAAAAGTGTAAGTAAAAGTTGTCCTCTTTACTTGAGATCATTACAACCACTGGCAGGTGAAGTGAACAACATTGATCATCTTGTAACAATGCCATGTTCTGCTGGGAAACCTTTGGGTGCTGGCATTCATGTGGATACCACCTGACATGCTCCACTAACCCTTACACCGTCACAGACCAAGTACACCCCGCTCATGACAACTGCACTCCCTAATTGCAGTGAGTATCGTGACAAAGAGCTTAAAGCATCAACCTGGCCTATAAATTCTCCAGATCCCAATTCGATCAAGCACTCATGGGATGTGGCGGTACCCCACCTCACAACCCACAGAACCCCAAGGATTGGCTGCCAAGTCACGGTGCCAGGCACTGTCCCCAGAGGCCCTGTTTCCATGCCTCAACAGATCACAGCCAAGTCTGATTCACGGTGGGGCTTCTGACCTGGCAATGCATGGACACAGGACCTCTGGGGTACTGCCAGGTCCCACGGATGCTTTTGTGATCTGGGGACTTAAGAGATCAGGTCAGGTCGGGAAGTGCAGCTGCCATTAGGGGGATATTTGGTTTGTATTTGAGTTTGGTTGGGTTGTGCTTGTCCAGTGGCATCCACATGAATGCCAGGACCCAAGGTTTTCCAGCAGAACATTTCATTGCAGCGAGATGATCAATATTAATCACTTCACCTGTCAGTGGGTGTAATGTGTAGGTTGATTGATGTATATGATAGTAGGAGTCATGTTAAAGCTGGGTTCAGTCCAGGTCCAGTGATTTATATAGCCTAGGTGTACACAAAGTCCAGTTTCTTACTGTATTGTTTGTGTGTATATATAGATACACACAAACATATATATATATATATCCTGAACCTCTCACTTTTTTTTCTGTGAGGTTTGCTTGTGTTAGCGTTCAACGTGGGTTTCAGAAAAACACACTTGTGGGGTGTCGGTAGCTTAGTGGATAGTGCCGGCGCCCCATGTATAGAGGTGATGCCTCACTGCAGTGATCGCGAGTTCGACTCCGGCTTGCAACCCTTTGCTGCATGTCGTCCCCCCACTCTCTCTGTCTTCCCATTTCACCCTCTCCTGTATATTAAAGGCAAAAAGCCCAAAAAATAATCTTTAAGAAAAAAAAGAAACAAAAAAAAAAGAAAAACACACTTGAACACATGACCTGATGGCTGCCACCTGTACATAAGTAGGTGCATGTTCATGATTTAAAAGCTACCTTTTGTGGTTCATGTCTGAACAACTTTCTTTTACAAAAAATGTTACCAAAAAAAGAAAAGAAAAAAAGACTTCACACCGCAGAACCCGAAGTCTTGTTTTTGAAAATCAGCAGACAAAATATAACACATATATGAGTATCAGTAGTGCTATTAAGTGTAAATGCAACACATTCCATTAAATCAAGAGCTGGTTGTATAAGTGGTTCTTGTGTGAGGCCCACTGACTTTCTGGGGATAGTAAATTAGTAAAACTGCATTAAAGCATTTTTGTAATGAGTTAAAACTCTGGCCTAAGCCACTTATGGAGGGGTGCTCTATCTATAACAGCTATAGACATGTGCTGAGAATGACTTGTGATTGTAAGAATATCTTCATGACATACTGTAGGCAACATTTGGTACTAAGTTTGAACAAATGGCCCCTCAGACAGTTTGAGGCATTCTCGCTTATTTATAGCATCATAAGTACCCTGCAAACCTTCCTTGAAAATACCTATTGTGGGATTTCATGCTTATGTAACTAGTCAGTGATGAGTATAGTAAGCAGCTAGCTGTTCAGTCCTCTTCTGCACATCCAGACATTTTGTGGTTTTGGCTCAAAAGTTGTCATATTTTGGAGTTACTCATAAAGGTACCAAATCTTGAGGCAAATTTGTGATTTGTCTTTGTCTGATTTTATGGGTAAAGCTGAAAGACACTAAACAATTACGAAGAAATCCAATATTGCATTAATGATAATAGCTTTGTTTGGGTTAGTGTAAGATTTAAACTCTTATTTCTTACTAGGTCTTACTATTTAGACATATTCAGCTCAACATAACATACCAACATTTTGGCTATTTACAATAAAAGACCTGATGCTTGGATTTTCCTTTATTGTTGACATCCTTATACCTTCTTTCTTTCCTCTCTACGAGTAGTCAGACAGTGAAGGGCTGCCCAGCCGGGCCAAGTCAGTGCCAGCTCTAGACCCTGGCAGGGGGTTATTCCGGGCAACAAGTCCCCCATCAGTTTCCCCCACTGGGACAGTAGGCCGGGTCAGGAGTCCTTCCCCACCTAAAGTCAAGACACCTATTAAAGTGCCAGAACGCTTCAAAAGCCCAGAGCCACTGTCAAAGATGGCAGAGCAATTTAGGGGTCCTGAACCACCACAAGCTCCTCTGAGCCCAGAGCCAATTGTGAACAGCGAACGAGAGCAAAATGGCATAATGGGCAAAAGAGTGATCAACGGTACAACCAACAGTGATGGAAAACTTTCAGGCAACAACCAGATGGATACTACAGAGGACAAGGGTCTGACACGTAAGAAAGTAGTAAAGGTGGTTCGTCGTGTTGTCAGGAAGGTCATGCCCACAGAAGAGGACGAGGCTTCTGTGACTTCACAACCATCAGACAAAGCTCCACAAGCAGCCAAGCCTGTTGCCGAACCAGTTAAAGCAGTGCCAGCAGCCACATTAGCACCAGCTGCAGTCTCTAAGGCCCCCATGTCAGGTTTCTCTTTTAAACATGACGTCATCAAAACTGAAGACAAAGATGACATCTCGCGAGGACTGTCAAACCTCATGGTCAGAGGCAGGACAAGGGAGCCCCGCCCAAGAATATCCAAGGATGAACGAGCAGAAAAAATAGAGCTGGAGAGGAAAAATGAGAAGAAAGAGGAAAAAGCTGTTGAGCCAGAGGAGATAAAAGAGGAGAAGAAAGAGGATAAAGCCACTCTAAAGCCACAGGAGGCCAAACCTGCAAGCTCTGGTCCAGTTAGACAGGATGTCAAATCTCCTGTGGTTGCTGTAAAGCAGGCTGGCAGCACAGCTTCTGAGCGCTTAGCTCCAGTGCCTTCCAGATCAACTCATTCCAGACCTGCATCCCTCCCACAAGTTGTTGGCTTTATCCCACCTCCCAAGTCCTCGCCCTTGTCTCCGCCTCCTGGCTTCATACCTGCACCCAGACCAACTACTGCCAAAAAACCCACCACTACAAATCCTCCATCTACCACCCCAGCAGCCCAAAAATCGTCGTCCCACCCTCCTCCATCACGTTTCATCCCTACTCCTAAACCCTCTCCACTTGCAACTCCTGTGAGCCCTGATCCTCCCCATCCCAATCCTAGTCCACTGTCTCCCCCTCTGGGAGTCATTCCCATTCATCAAACTGCCATCATTCAGGAAGAGGTATACTGTCCACACTTCGCATGTTTGGTCAACATTTGGGACATTGGTGTGGAAAGTGCATGACCATTTGAAATGCATGTTTGAAATAAAAGAGCACTGTGGAGTTTGCTTGCAGAAACCACATATGTGTGTATCCTTAGTGTGGCATGGTTTTGGAGTCATTTAATAGCCATCGTAAACAACGTACAGAATATAAAAAGGAACACAAAATATTTTTTCTAACCTTTTAGAATACCTAGGGAAAAGGTCACCTGAGAATACTTTATCTTTTCAGCAGCTGTCAACATGGCCAAAGACCTGGCGGCGATGTCATTCAGTTGGTTTGTTGTCCATTGGTTCAGCTGCCCAACGCTTTAGTCCAGAACAGGAAAGGCTTTCAACATCCATGAGTATTATGTTTGGATGTTTATACTCAGTCCCCAGTGGGAAAGTGACCATGTAGTCAATGCTTTGCATTTGCCTGACAAGGTAAAAGTCAGTAATGAATCAAATAAAACAAGATATTTGTTTCAGGTCAGGCTGTTGCTGTACCACTTGGGCTTAGCTGAGTCAAGTCATAAAGATGCTGATTTTTGAACATGTGATAAACCAAGACCAAGATATGACTAAACTGCCATTAAATATGGTGTATTGGTGTTCCCCAGAAAATGGTTTCTCTGTGGTTTTGGTCGACCTTTCGACCTTTTCTGTGGTGCTACAATCAGGTTACAATTTCCTCTTGACCAGTATCTCTTTAAGTAATGGCTGGGGTGCCATGAACTTTGCTGGTAACATTTTTGCTCCCAAGGGCATAAACGTTTTCCAGTTTTAATTACTGCCCTTAGGACAAACTTTACAGACAAAACTGTATGTTTTATGTTGTGTCTGACACATTCTGCCAGTGTGTGTGGCTTTAGACTTTTGGTCACAAGTTCTTTTTTTTTTGTCTTTTGTTTGTGAACACAGAAGAAGTCATGTCATTTTGTTTTACAAGTCCTCTATTGTTGAGTACCTTGGTCCTGGGCACCTCAACATTGGCTGTTTAGGAGTATAAAGTATTTATTTACTTCCTGACCATAATTTCCCACTCTTGTGACCTATCAGTCACAAACCCCTTTATTTATTGGTATTCTCTTAACCTGCTAGTTTCCTCAAAAACTTGGTTTTGCTGTCAAAATAGCAATTTGTTTATTTGTTGGAGATTATAGAGGTTTGCAGATTTTAGAAGCTTGCTCGAATTGAGAGCCTTGAAACCATCTCTGTGTAGTCTACTATGAAAACAGGGAGAACAGTTGCTACTTTTTTTTAGCAATGAGATCTCACATAGCCGAATGTCACTCTGAAGCCTTGTTTACAAAGGCAGAGTCCCACCTGAGAATCCCAAAGCTACTGCTTCAGTAGCCTGGTATGTCCAGTCACCAATAGGAGAGCCATGTAGAGCCAATTACTGCAGTGCTGCATTCTGGTCAAGTAACTCAAAGCACAGACATAGTTCGCTTAGCTCTGCAGAAACTTCACAGATGGCAGACTTGGTTCAAATAAAGCTGTTGTTTCCTGGGCTCTTGCTGAATTTGAGCAACAACTGGGTCAAAGTTTACTCCACAACACATGCTGCCTCTGACCAGGACAGTAGCCTTAGGAATCTGCTGCTAGATTTCCAAAGCATGTCATCTTTTGCATTAGAGGGATGTATTAGATTAGAAATCCTTTTTTTTTTCTTCAGGAAAGATTTTAACTTCCTTATGACAAATCTTTCTGACATTCTGATAATTCAGCCTCTTTCCTTATGATGAATAGTGAGCTGCAATAAGATCAGGGTTTTGCCCCACAGGACTAAGAGCCTAAGAATGATGATATCTTTAAATATTTTCATGGTACATTAATTTGCTGTGCTGGTTTGTTGCATCTTGTATCTTGCAGATATTCTTCTCTTAACCAGACAATTACAGTTTTGTGTGTTTGTGGCATTAATCTTGTCGTGTGCATGCTGTTTGAAGCTCCTTTGACCTTTTACTCTGGGAGTATTACTAACATGAGCCCTTTTTACACAGAGATGGCACTACAGAAATGCTTCTTTACTCAGCCTTTGCATTTTCACACAGAACTAGGGATGTGTAAAAATGTTTTTATTTGGTGATATTCCATATGCTGATATATCATAACTCATTTGACTGATAATTGATACCAATATTGATATATTTACTTTTTTCCCTGCCTAACTTTAGTGATCATCAAGTTTCTTCTGTAGCAATATTAACATCATATTATGCATGTATGCCGTATAAGTGATACAGTAATACAGTATTTTTCAATGTATGTAATATTCATGCATTGTGCAAATTGCGAAAAAGGATGTTAGCCGGTTCTAGTACTTAATTTTAAAGCTGATATTGGCCGATACTGGTGACATGCTGATATTGGCATGCATCCCTACACAGAACCAAAATACAGCGGCATCATGCTGCACCAGTGTGTAATGCTAGACAGCATGCTGGCATCGCGGAAGCAGAAGAGGCGTGACAGGCATAACATGTAACACAACAGCGTCAGCTTTCAGTGTACGCATCGGCAATAAAAATGCTATTAACATGGCAATAACAGTCATTTACTGCCTCTGTTATATGGGGGCTGATCTCGTTCTCTGCTCAGAAGGTAAGGAGGTCCCAGACCTCGTTGTTTTCTCAATTTGTGGCAATTTTCGGCTGCTGCTTTTCTTCGAGTTAGCTGCTAACTGCTACCAGCTGCTTTTGAAATCTCCTGGTGGTGGGTCGCACACATATTACATTGTCAAAACGTCGACCCCTTCCCATCCACAGTCCCGTCCTGCTGGCTGTCCCTTTTACACGGATGTCGTTTCGGCGCTGTTACTACCTATCGATGCGGGGTTAAGGCGAGACAACTCTGGCCCTTCCATTCTGCGATTTTTCATTTTACACAGAACAGTGAGGCAGCATAATGGCATGAAATTCCCCCTTTAAAGAGGCAGTGTTAAAAGGTCCATGGTCTTTTACCATCAGATTCTACAGTAACCCAAAATGCAATGTAATGTTGATGACAGAAGTTTGAGTGTGCAGAGTCTGCTAAAGGAAACATGAGAAAAGTCAGTCTTTGATTTGTAAGAGGAATACGTCACATATGCACTTTGTAACTTTCTGTTTGTGTGGAGTCATTAGCTTTGCTTCAGCTTTTTCAGTGGGCTTAGTGTCATTATGTTGCTGCTTTGACCTGTAGGAGGAGCCGCTCAGTCCCACTGAGGAAGCGCAGAGACGCCTGATGAGAATCTTCAGTGCCCCAGTAAATCACCCTACTGTTGATATCTTGTCTGCATGTCTGTCCATGTCAACTTGCACAGATTGTTTAACAGATACGTTTTGTGTCCCTCAACAAAAATGTAGTGTAACGGCACTACAGACCATGGCCTCAGACTGAGTCAAATCCACACTGCTAATGTTCCCCATCATGAGCTTTACCCAACTTGTTCTGCTACAGGGTTGTTGTATTGTACTGTTTGTTTTCTCCCTCTTAGAGTTAGCTTGCAGAACCTCAGCCTCCCTAACCTAAACAATGGTGGCTTTCCTCAGCTGTTAGCATTAGTCACCATGCCTAAAATGTTTAGTTTATTGGTGTATATTTACAGAGACAACAGAGGAAAGTATTAGAAGGGTGCCCCGCTGACTGGGGCAGAACAGTTGGTCTACCCTTTGTGACTCATGACGGAGTGAAATGTTATCCCCTCTGCTGGTGTCCTGGCTTCAGCACTCTGGCCCTTCCTTCTGTAACTCTGTTTCTCTGGCTGTCATCATGCAACCATGGCAGCTTTCAAAAGTCAAATCTCACTTTTCTAGTTGAATTTTTTTGCCTGCTTTTGTAGACTCACTGGAAAGTTTCACATAGTAAGGATGTCCTGATTAACTATCTTTTTGCCCTGATCCAAGTGCTGTAATATTTGGTTATTATACCGATATCTAGTCCAGTCCAATCCAATCTATTTATCTAAATGTTGAAATATATGCTGTATCCAGGGTTGGAAATTAGCACCAGCTAAATCGTAAATTATGCATGTGACTGCTAGATTTGCTTCACTTACCAGCTAGAAAACAATGGTAATCTATTGAGTGGCTGATAGATTTTGGAATCTACCAGCCACAGTGGCACGTGGACAAAAAAAAAGGTAAATTTCCAACCTTGACTGTATACAAGCTGTAGCCCATTAAAGGAGCTATATGTAAGAAATCTAAAGCAAATAGTCATAAAATCCTCCTAATATGTCACAGAGACTAAGGAATAATGTTCATATAACATACTGATCTCACCGACAACAATAGTACAGCCAGAATATTCGCATTTAAAAAAATATTTTACGGTCCGCAAATCATGTTTATGTTTTGAATTTGTGTTTTGGACTGTTGCGCCACCCACCGCCGTCTACCAGTCACGCAGTCAGTAGAGTCTCAGCATCAGTTAAAGTTACGACTGAGCTACAGCAGCACGGCAAGCAGCATTAGCAGTGTCCCGGTACACAGCATTAGCAGCCGGCTCCTCAGCTGTATCCCGGCAGCAGCGTTAGCAGTGTCCCAGTACATAGCATTAGCAGCTGGCTCCTCCTCAGCTGTATCCCGGCAGCAGCATTAGCAGCAGAGAAGCCGGACTTGCTCGAATGGTCTGCTGGAAAACCGAAGATCAAGGATGCGGCGACGCAGCCCTGCCACGGCAGCCGCCCGTGGGCAAACAAATCAGTCTCCAGCGTGCCGCTGTCCAGCAGCCTCAAATCTGTAGGGGGGGTGGGGGGCGGACACGACTCGCGGCAGTATTTTGAATTTGAGTGCAGTAACCGTTTTGGCCACATTCTTACATACAGCGCCTTTAAAGCTTACATGCCCCTGTTTTCATGAGCTGCTTGATCAAAATACTGATGGTCCTGAGTAAAAACTATTCTTTCCTCACAAATGACCTTTGGCCCAGGACAGACATTGGCTTGCAGAGAGCATGCAAACCTTACAACATACAAGTTTGTTATCAAGTTGCGAACAGAATTATTATCAGTTAGTAGGGATGGGAATCAAGAACCGCTTTCAGTTGTGAACTTGTTTCAAATAGTCTGATTGATTGGAACTGTAGGACTCAGATCATAGCAGTTTTTTTTATCGATGCCGGCATCTTTTTCTGATAGTTGTGCATTGAAAAATAATGATGTCAGACTTATGTATCTACACTGGAAACTTGCAACAAGAAGGAATCATAGAGGGCAACGGTCCAAGTGTAATTTCATTTCACCAAATAAACAAAAAAAGACAACGGTACTGCTTAAAGGGCCATACATATGCTGAATTTTGAACTGCCCGGAAAAAGCGAGGTTGGGTGCTAGGTGCTACTCTTGTGCCTTTTCTGTGCCAGCTTTCAAAAAACACAAATTTATTAATTTATTGTTTTTAATGTAGATGCACAGCAGGTGTGCTCAAATGCCAGAGCGACCCCATCACAGTGTACACGTGTTCCTGAGAACTTATTTTTCAGGGCAAGATGGGTGTGCCCTGAAATAAAGGAGGCGTACACATGCCACATCTTTAACCACCTGGAAAATACAAGGTTGGATGCTGGGCGCTACTTTTGTGCCTATTCTCTACCAACTTTCCAGGGCGCAGAGGCAAGTTGCATCTGAGATTGCTAAGAGATCATAACCAGCACTGTATCATAGCCTACTTACCAGAAATTCTGAGTGCAGAGCTGATCTTCTTCCAGGCGCTGTTTTGTAAGTGTGTATTAGGCCAAAAATATTGTCCATGGGACAGATGTAAACCTCTGGCAGCCCTGCACTAAAATGATCAACTTCTTCTCCATAATTATCACAGACTGATATTTACGGAAGAAGGTCAAGATATCAATTGGCAGTGATTGGTTGTTTCTAGTAATATGACATGCACTGCGCGCTGCTGTTTCAAAAGTTGAACTTAGTTTATTTCAGGGCGCAGCCATGGCACCCAAAAAATAGGCACTTGGGAACGCTTGTGCACTGCGACAGCATTGCTCTGGCATTTGAGTATGCCTGCTGAGCATCTACATTGAAAACAATTTGTTTGAGGGTGCAAATAATGCAGCTTGTGTTCTGCCCCAAACAGTGTTCAACTTTTGGAACACAGCAGCGCGGACTGCATGTCATGTGACGAGGACAACTAATTACAGCCAGCAGATAATCTTCTCTTCATCCGTAAATATCAGTCTGTGACAAATATGGAGAAAATTATGATCTTTTTAGTGCAGGGCTGCCAGAGCTTTACATTTGTCCAATAGGCTATGATACGGTGCTTGTCAAGGTTGCTTAGCAACCTCAGACACAACCTGCTGCCACACTCTGGCACAGAAAAAGCACAAGAGAAGCACCCTGTGCCAGACATTGCATTTTCCAGGTATTTAAAGAGTTTGCATGTGTATGGCCACTAAAATGTCTGTAAAATGATAATTTCAAGTAAAGGTGGAAACAACAGTAATATGCTTTTCCTAGGCAACATGGGCTTAAATTTCAGGAATGCAGTGTGTGACAATTTACACACTGCTTCCCAACTGAGCAGCACATCCTTTACCAAGAGTAAATTTTCTTTTATGATAACATTAGTGCTACGCAGGCAGGCTTGGCATAATTTTGACTATCCAGTTGAGAATTTGTTCCAAGTTATCCAACAGTTTTTGCATCGTGTTCAGACTCATAGATAATAAATCAGATTCATTGATGTTGAAAAGCTGCCTACTTTTTTCCCCACATAGGAAATTGATCAGGAATCAATAAGGGAATCGATAAAGAATCGGACACCATGTTTGGTGAAAGCAACAGTCTGCACCGGCTGCTAATGTGTCACTGGGACAGCTAACAGTAACTTTATACATTTGAACTGATCTGCACTTCCAAAAAACATTGACCTTTGTCACTGTATAGGAATAATTTCCATCCCATGATTACTCATTGCCAAGACATTTCACATGTCCAATACTCTTTCAGTTGTCCATGCGCTTTCTTCTTTGTTTTAATGCATTGCATCATCTTCATCCAAAGTTCCATGTTAACCTTGTCTTCTTTTTTCTCCTGTTCTTCCCTTCATTCTCTTCCTCTCTCTCCATACCTCATACATGCTGCTTTTGCTGGTTGTTGTTGTCTGGCTGTGGTTGCTTTGCGGCTAAGCTGGAGCAGACAGTCAGTGTTTCGGCCCCCACCCCTGCGTCCCCACAGCCCCAGGGCCCCCTCCAGGTACCACAGCACTCCAGCCGTCCTCTGGGCCTTCTGGCTGGAGTTTGTACTCGAGTGACTTGTTGGAGTGTAAGGCCTGGAATCCTTCTAACTTTTCCTCCTTTTCCTTGTCTGCAGTATTTCCAACATCTGTATTAGGTTGTGACCAACACAAAAAGCTAAATGGCTGTAAGATTTAATCTGGTCAGCCTCCACACCTGATAGAATAGATAATATGTGGATTTATTTTGTTTTAGCATTGTTAACATGGATTGAATCCAGAACTGCTATTTGACAAATCAGATTCTTTCTCATTGTAAGCCTTACTGTGAATCCTGGTCGTCATAGCAGGAAATTTTGTCTCATGGTCTTAATACTTTCAGAGACATTTCATCAAGCTGCAAAGCGTGACATTAAAGGAAAACATGGACTTTTACTTAACCAAACTTTAAAAAATGGTCTCAAAGTAACCTCTATCTATGGTGTGGGAACATTAATATCCTACTTATTTAATCTCTGTTTTTCCAGCACAGAGAATGATGTAGGATGTTTTAGCCTAGTTTAAACATTGAAAGAGTATAGGAGTATGTTACTTCTGAGATCTTTGATTGAATGTTGTAACCTGATATGCCAGAAAAAGAAACGCAAGCTCCACACATTGTAGGTTCGCAAGCGCTTAGCTTGGAGCTAAGCCTGATGGGTGGCATGACTGCAAAACAATGCAACAACTCCTTGTTGAGTCATGGATGTATTGGTGATAAGCCTGTTAGCTAACAAGGTACAATGCTTCAAGGGACAGTTTATCCCAGAATCCAAACTACATATTTTTCCTCTTACCTGTGCTATTCATCAATCCAGATTGTTTTGGTGTGAGGTGGTGAATGTTGGCAGGGTTTCCCACACATTCATTTAATTGTAGCAGCCTGCCACAATTAAAACATCTACCGCCATGTTTTGATTTTCTATTTTTGGGGCTGGACCATTCATTAGAAGTGCTGTTGAAATATATATTAAATTCAGTTCAGTTATGTTGTATTTATAAAGCCCAATGTCACAAATAAAAACTTGCCTCACAGGGCTTTACAGCGTTTGACATCCCTCTGTCCATTGGACCCTCACAGTGGGTAAGGAAAAACTCCCCAAACAAACCTTTAACGGAGAAAAAAATGGTACAAACCTCAGGAAGAGCAACTTCCAGGATGGACAGATGTGCAGTAGATATACATGCTGTTTGGTTATCCACTGTGTCACATTTTCTGAGCACAGAGCATATTCTGGAGAGCAGAACATCAGGGCGCAGTGAAAGTCAAACTTAACTGTCATTGCTTTCAGTTTGCTTTCACTGCTCAGCTCTGATTGGATGGACTGATCAGTTGTCCACCCACAACCCAAACTCCACAAACTGCTGCTGAGGAAAAAAAAATCACTCATGAGGAATTTTGCCTGCACTGTGTTCAAGGACCCACAAAAAGCTGACTGATACACAAGGCCACAGAGAAATCATCTAGTTCCGTTACATTGGAGAGAAGGCAGACAACTCTATGGCCGATATCTCCAACACTTGACAACTCACATCAAAACAATCTAGATTGATAAATAGCACTGCAGGTAAGAGGAAAAAGATGTGTTTTTGATTTTGGGGTGAACTGTCCCTTTAAATAAGGTACCTTTTGAGTTGTTAGAAAATGTATTATTTCACCTTGGCAGATCAAGACTAGCAGTTGCTAAATTAGGCTAAACATGTCCGAAATGTATGTTTGTACTAGAAAACTGACTCATCTCATTCTGGGTTTGACAGCAAACCCCAAACCCCAAACCCTAAAATCTGTTTCCAATCATTGATTTTTTTTGTCTCCTGATATTTTAGAAACACCATAAAGATGAATTATTCAGTCAAAAGCTTTTTGGCAGGTCTTTCCTTGTTTTGTCATCAACGTGAGGTGCAGTTTGTAACACAATGGCATGATCTATCTCTCTTTATGACACATCAGGCTGATCGAAGCAACCTGCATGGGCTTTGCATCTTTTATATTGATGATCAGCATGCATGTCTGGTGTTTCTGCTCTTAAAGAAGTCTTGCGTGAGTGTTGTGTGGCTAATTTTTATGTTGAGGTGCTTCCAGGTGCTGTTTTGTGTCATGATGAATCATTGTTTTTGACCTTAACACTTTTTTGTTGTCATCCGACTGTTTTATTCTATGGGCCATAAATGTTTCACCAGTAAAAGTCTAATATTAAAGCAGATCTGCCATAAAGCCAATGAGTGGCTCATAACAGGTTCTTTTTATAGATGATTATGCTTGTAAACTTGATTTTTCTCTCACAGGTCTGCTGAATAAGTATAACCAACTACGCTTTGTTTAGATGCACTGGTGCTTGCCTTCATCTGCGTGCTTATCTATTTGTGTAACATTTGCTACTCATTTCTAACTGTGACCTTTGACCTCTTAATGCTGGCCCAATCACCAGGGATCAGTGGAAGAGGACCCTTTGGCCCTCCTTCAGGCATCTCATGCTGCAGCTCAGCAGTCTCAGGTGTGGCCTGCACTGTACCAGCTCGTCCCACGGTCCCCCTGCACTGTAGAATGTTGTGCTGTGTTGTGCTCTCTCCCTTTGCTTGCAACAGGCAGTGTGTCTTGTTCACCTTTCCATTAAAATGATTTGAAATCAAGCAGTCACCTTTAAAGACTTCATTGGTTCTTTGGGTTTACATCCAAAAATTTCGCACTATTTTAGGTATTTGCTGATTTCTGACATGTTTGTGTCATTTTAGTTTTGTGGTTGTGGTGGTCCCTCTTCACTTGTGTCCCATGTATGTTCACTTAGCCGAGGTAATCCCTGGTATTTTTGTTACCAGCATTCACACTGACCCCCCTTCACACACCCCTGAGGCTTGTTATATTGACATCCATCTGTTTTGAAGTTCTCACACACCACCCTGAAGAAGCAGCAGTGCTTAGTCGACTGTGAGACTTTTGTGTCCATTGTCACCCACTGCATGGTCATCATCTTGCTTTTCCTTCATAACCTTTCAGCATGTGTTGGGATCAGACTGGAAACACTGGTGGTTTCAGAAAGATCCAGTGTGACTGCGAGTGATTCAGTGACATGGCTTGACAATAACAATAATTTCACTATCCCTGCTGTCTAGTAATTTTTGTCCTTTCTGTCCCCAAGGTGAAGACAGAGGAGCAGATCGCAGCGGAGCAGGCCTGGTATGGATCAGAGAAAGTCTGGCTTGTCCACAAAAATGGGTTCTCCCTGGGTGAGATTAAAGAATAATATAAAATATAATAATAATAATGATCATAATAACAGCTTCCAGCTTAAACATTCCAATATAATTTCATGCTTTGTGTTTCCTGCCTTTTCTCTTCCCAGCCACTGTGGTGAAGACAGAGGCTGCCTCCCTGCCAGAGGGCAAGGTGAAAATCAAATTGGAGGATGATGGGACAATACTGGAGGTGGACGAAGATGACATAGAAAAGGTAAATGGTTAGCTGAAGAGCTAGCCTGGGTCCCCTCCACCTGTCACTTAGTCAGCTGTAGAGAGTCAGGCTGCCACAGAGGACACTAACAGACAGCAGGAATGATAAGACAGGTGGAAGAAAGGTCAGATGCGATAGCTGGAAAAGTTTGGCAGTTGTTGACATTTGCGTACTCAGCCATGGTGCTTTTCCAATCAGACATTTCTAAAATCTCTAAAGATGAGTTTACTGGAACAAAAAAACTTCAAAAAACTTAATCTAATTAATTACATGCTCTGTGATTAGTTAATCTAAATTTATAACATATATCAATTTTTGCTGTAAAGTAAATTTCAATTCAAATGAAAGTAGATGTGTCATAGCAAAGCTGCTGGATTTTGGACATAATTGTCCCCTAGGCCTCTACCATCAAAACTGGTCTGCAGTTCGTTGCAGTCCATTTTGGAGGGGAGTTAGTTAGTCGGTCACAGGAAGACTTGCTCAGTTAGCGTCTGAACACCTGGTCGAGTGTGGCTTAATGAGGCTGGCTGCTAGTGCTAGCATCAGAGGCTGTGCTAGCTTAGACCTCCAGCTTTGCTGTTGAATGCTCTGCGTTGAGGTGATATTTCAGTCTTGAATAATCCGATGGTACAAAAATTCCTTACTGCAGAAATTGCAGAGAACGGTGCTCCTATCAGCAGTTCCATCGGGGCATTTCTTAAACGTAAATGTAAATTCCCGGGGCCAAGCAGCGTCGTCTCATCCACCTCATGTGACAAAGGCCTACTTTACACTACATGGTTCAAGTGACCCAATTCCGATTTTTTCCTCTCAAGCGGCACAGATCGGATCTCTAACATGAACATGTAAACAGGAAAAAAAACGCATGATATTGGATATTGTCAGATCAGATTCAGGCCTCCTTCATTTTCATTTCATTTCATTTAACCTTTATTTCAACAGGGAAGTCCACTGAGAGTGAGCTCTCTTTTTCAAGGACGCCGTGCATGTAATACATAACACACACAATTACAAAATTACAAGGTACATAAACATGAGAGTACAGAATACAAAAAATAGTCTTTACAACGTAAAAGTGAAAAAACTAAACATAGTAGATACAGACAAGACTAAAAATAATAATAAGGAGCAAGACTGATCTCTAAGTAAAGCCTCATCAAGGCTGTGAGGTGTACGCTGCTTTTCTTTCTTTCTTTCTTTCTGTCAGCGACATACACTCCTAACACAGGACGGGTTGTTTTTATTGACTGAGTTGATTATTAAGCCATAGTGATGCGCGGATCGGCTCTGATGGCACTCGAATCAGCATGTACCTATCAATCATCCGGCCGCACCCATCTGCAGCTGCACAGACATTTCCACCGCTCTGTGTAGGCTAAGTTACCTTTTAAATTATGTGAAGCAGCGCCAGCTTTCCAGGTGATTTATTCTTTAACGATTAACTTCAAATATTTAAAGTTAGTCCTTAAAATTGCTTTCAGTAATGTAAACATTTCCATTTGCGCAGTAATGTCACTGTAGCAAATACCGTGGGACATTTACACAGTTGTCAAGAGTGCTGAACCGGAAGTGTCGCACAAAAAACGGAAGCTGGCTGTGTTCTGTTTTGCCTCCGTGTCTCCGTGAAAAATAAATTGAATAGAACATGTAAACAGCAGTCAGGAAAAATCGGATATAGGCAACAAATCGGAATTGGGCATCAAGTGTTAATGTTTTATCGCATTCTTTTTTCTTTGATTAATAATCGACATGAACATGTCATTTTGACAGTCCTACTTTCATGTCATTAAGACTTTAACAGTGGGGTGTCAGTGGCTTAGTGGATAGAGCATGTGCCCCATGCTGTCCCCTCTGTCTCTCCCCCCTTCAGGCCACACTGTCCTATCCATTATAGGCAAAAATGCCAAAAAAAAATCTTAAAAAAGAAAAAAGATTTTGACGGTGTAGCTCTAACCATCAGTACCCAGAGGACAAAAAAAGTGACAAAGTAATTTGTAATGTAATGATGTCATTGACCTCCCAGTTTAATGGTCATCTAAAAATCTACAGAATCACTGTAAGTGTACTTCAAAAAAGAGGAGAGAACATAGGGAAAATGCTGCTTTACAGGTGTAGGATGAAAGCTATAGGCATGCAGAATACTGGTTTTGTCAGTGGACAGTACACCTGAAGACATAAGCACCATCGGGTCTTATTAAATTTACAGATAAGTTTGGTGATATTCTATAATTTTCCTACTGTTAACAAATCCCATGTACAGAGTCAGACCAACATTAAATGCATCTACTAATATGTGTGTATCAAATCCTGAAACATCTTCTTCCTTTGTCATTACTTTAAAATATTACTCTCTGAGTATTGTGTTACAGAGTTACACGTGTTACTTATTACACTACTTTTGTGTTACATTTACAAAATTAGCTCAGAAGAACTGATGTGGATGAGGGTCATATTGTTTCACTGCAGCTAATCAAAGCACAGACGCTACAGTTTCTTACAGTTCATTTCAAATCCAGTGCCCATTAATGCATTCACATACAGTGGTTACCACTTTGTATAGTTTGTATTGTTACCACGCTTATGTTAATAATAGCATGATGATATAGCACAATTAAAGGGATAGTGCACCCAAAAATGAAAGTTCAGCCATTATCTACTCCCCCATATGCAGATTGAGGCTCCCCAGATTCAAACGTCCAAAAACACATAATTGAAACCACAAATTATCTCCAACATGCTCGTCCGTAGTGATCCAAGTGTCTTGAAGCCCCGACATAAAAAGTTGTTTGGAAAAACGTCATTTCAACTCTGTTTTTAGCCTCACTGTAGCCTGTAGCTCTAACTGCCTCTCTGTGCACCGCGATCACGTGTGCGCCCTTGCGCGCGAGACCAGCGAAAGCACGTGAACACACATGAAAGCGGTGCCCATGTCTCACAGTCTCAATGATGTTTTTCCAAACAACTTTTTATGTCGGGGCTTCAGGACACTTGGATCATTACGGACGAGCAGTATGGAGATATTCTGTGGTTTCAATTATGTGTTTTTGGACGTTTGAATCTGGGGCGCCGTCAGCCTCCATTAGGTGGAATTGTGTTGCTACCCCCTCTCCCCTTGGATCTCCGCAAGTGTTGTGAGGACTCTAAAACTTCACCTGAGCCTCCTTCGGCATATGGGTGAGTAGATAATGGCTGAATTTTCATTTTTGGGTGCACTATCTTTTTAAAATAGCCTTGGTCACAGGGAAGGTCAGGCAGAAGGAGAGGTTCCACAGTGGAAACGGAAAAAATGCATATTGGAACTGAACTAAACCGTACTGGACTGCTCGATGGAAACTGGGCTTAACAGTGCCAGTGGACTTTAAGCTGTGTTTTCACCAAACACTTTCTGTATAGTATTTTTAGAACCCATACAGACATGTCCCTAAACCCAAGATCTGTTTAGCTTTTCCATTGCAGACAGTACTCTTAAATGTAGGCAGGGTTCTTATCAGATGGTAAAAGTCATGTCTGCTCCATCCGGTTCTCACTGTATTTCCTCTTCACTGACAATACAGGTGATTGTCTGTGCCTCACTGATCGTCCACGGACTGGGTTGCGCGCCAACATTTTTAGAACAAGAAATCCAAGACTTGAGTGTTTAGAGTCTCTGTCACAATTGATGGGATATTCAAAAATATCAGGTTTTTGTATTGAGTCCTTGGAGAGCAAGAGTGATGATTGTCTCTCGACCAAAAAAAAGGACTGCAGTGTTTCTAGCTCCACCTTTTAGTATCAGATCAGCGTGCGAGGTACCTCAACAGAGGGGTGATGAAAAAAATGGGCTGAATGGAACAGTACTGTTGGTACCATCCACAACTTTTGACAATGAAAACGCAAAAATAAATGTTCTAATGTGGAATAACTGAACCAAACCTGACTGCTTGGTGGAAATGAAGCCAATAGTCCAGGCGTGTTAAAATATTCTGTATGTGGTTAGCCATGTCTGTGACACTACTTGAATGCCATCATGGTTAACTCTGTCTCTCTCTGTGTGCAGGCCAATCCTCCATCATACAACCGATCAGAGGACCTGGCTTCACTGCTCTATCTGAATGAATCCAGTGTGATGCACTGCCTGAGGCAGCGCTTTGGAGGCAACCTCATCCACACCTACGCTGGACCCAATATGGTGGTCATCAACCCCCTTAGTACACCCTCCATGTACTCTGAGAAGGTAAGTTTTAGACTGATGACGGTAGTCAGTTAATATTGCTGTTATAGCAACATTCTGTTTTAATGTCCATGGTTTTGGAATGACATGTTAAACAATCACATTTGGATGCAGTGATGAAGGGATTTCACTGTTGAGTGCACTCTATGGTGCATTATTTTTCTGTAAACAGTGGTTGTACAGTGAGGAAGATTAAGCAAATACCTGCTGGCAGACTGCAGGCAGAGCCAAAACAAACACAGTGCACCAGGTAAAAAGCTGTGCAGAAACAAGTTCAGGCAGCAAAGTAACACATGCTGTCACACGAATAACTCCCCTCATTCATGTTTGAGGGGAGCTAAAAGGAGAAAAGGCAAAAAGGAACATTGCACCATTTATAAATAAATGCTCACCAGAACGGCAGGAAATGCTCTAGATTTCTGTCTTTCATTTTTCTTTAACTTCAAACAAACAAACAAAAATGAATAACAGACAGAATTTTCTCAGACCACATGTAAAATTAGATTAATTATTTATAATAGATTCTTAAAATTGATTAAAAAAATGATTAAAAAATACTTATAACCCTAACCCTTACTCTCTAAATAAAATTGTTAATGTAATTTTATAAATCTATGTTGTTGTGAAATAAATTATTGCATTAAAATTGTGAAACCAGGATTTTTCCTCTGTCTATAACTGTACCTTCATCCCTGTTTATGAGTCCATGTTGTGTGAATAACACAAGCAGTCCATTTATATTAGCATGAAAATTCAAGCCCAGAAACCTTAACTTTGCCTCATTAAAGCTGATCTGTTGTTCAACTCCTGGGGGTCATCAGAAAAGTTGCTCACAGCTCAAATGGAAAACATGAAAATAGTAAGGAATCAAGTACACAGCATCATTCAGGCAATTTTACAGTTTAATTAGGGCTCTTCCCGACTCAGAATTATCATATATTGCCCCTCTCTAAAACTGTGTCATCTTTGTCATTTAAAAAGCAACAATATACCTAATGATAGCCTAACAATAAAGGTTATTTATAAAGCACTAAAGTCAGGATGAATGAACTAAGTTGCAAAATCAACGAAAAAATGGTGGTAATACACTCTGTCGAGCCACTGTTAATCACTGCAGGGGAAATTCCTTCATCGCAACAGCCCTAGACTACTACTTTGGTACATTTCAAAAAGGGCTGTACCCGATTCAGATTTATGTCAGTCAAATCAGATTCAGCCGTTTAATACAGATATTTTATGATTCTTTTTTTTTTTTTTTCATGTAATGTTTAAAAGTTTGATTGGGGCTCAGCAGGACTTTCAGTGTGACAGCAGCATTGTAATATAGTAAACAAGCTAACAGTGCTGACGGCGGATTGGAAATGTGCACCATTTTTTGCTGACCCTAGATATCAAACAAAATTCAGAGACTGGGTTGTATTAAGAATCTGTGAGAAGTTAATTCACCACCTCCAAGCATAAGAGAGAAGATAATGTCATCTCGGAGCCACATGATGGAAAGTTTCTCCTCCTCTGTGCTGCTGAATCACGTCCACAGCTGACTGTACCAAAGAGAAGCGTGAAAGTCAAAAGCGCTCACTCCACAGCAAAATCTGGGGACCAGAATGTGCCCAGAAGTACACTGCACAGCACATTGATTAGCCAAAAAAAAAGACTGCTTGACTTGAAACGCAGTCAGTTTAGGGATCTCCAACTGATAATTCAAATCTCTGCCTTTCAAGGGGCAGCCCTAAATGTATTACTATTTTAAATTCCCAGGTTTTCTAGGGTGTTTGAGAACTGTTTTTAAATTCTATCTGGCATTGAACACCTAAAAGTTGTCTTAATCATATGTTGATAAAGCTTGCAGACATTCTGTTGAGCACAATGATTATCACCAATATTGAATAACTGGCAGAAATGTAAGGGTGGCAGCTCTTTGGTGGTGGCTCTTATTTTAATCCCTCTCTGCATTTGTGTTTGTCCTTCTTTTGTGCCCTCCTCCCCTCTCCTTTGCTATGTGTATCTTCTTCCTCCTCCATAAGGTGATGCACATGTTCAAAGGCTGTCGGCGTGAGGACACGGCACCTCATATCTACTCTGTGGCCCAGACTGCGTACCGCAACCTGCTCACCACCCGGCAGGATCAGTCCATCGTGCTGCTGGGCAAGTCAGGCAGCGGCAAGACCATAAACTGCCAGCACCTGGTCCAGTACCTCGTCTCCATCGCTGGCAGCACAGGCAAAATCTTCTCTGGTGAGCCTGCAGACAGAAGATAGGGCAACAGATTCATCACAAAAATTCATGAATAGATACAATAGATAAATAAGTGGCCTAATAGTAGGCTTTACAAGATCTCTGACATGTAGTTACACAGGACATTCATTTAAATTTGTACATTGTTGTATCAGAACTGTGAATGTCTTGTCCTTGAATTTATTATGGACCCAACTTTCTAAACGTAAAGGTCCAGTGTGTAGGATTCAAGGAGATATAGTGGTAGAAATGGATCACAATTTAATAAGTATGTATTCTTCAGGGTATAATCACCTGAAAATAAGAATTGTTGTGTTTTTGTAACCTTAGAATAAGCCATTTATATCTACATAAGGAGCAGGTCCCAGAATGGACAAACCAAACACTAGCTCTAGATAGGGCCATCTGTGTTTTTCATTTTACCGGTGGCCACAGTAGTTAACAGCACCTGTGCAACAAGAACGTAAAAGAAAAAATTAAAAGAAATGCTGATTTGTTTTTACCTTGAACCTGTTTTTTCAGTGTTTTTACTGGTTTAAATAACCAAATAAGTCTGTTTTGGAGAGGAAGAGACCTCTGAGGATAATTCAGCTCCCAGTAAAAACCTCTTGAACAATGAACACTGAAGGAATTCTATTCAGGAGAAGTTTCATTTGGTTGCATCTAGCAATCCTCAGTGGTAGATGTCACTAAATCCCCCTATATTTTACACACTGTTCCTTTAACTTTCAAAAAAAAAAAAAAAAAAAAAAAATCCATTGCAGTAAATAAAGCAACAGTTTATTTACTTTATTAGGAGGTAAAACTGAAACTTGTCATACCAAAAAATGTCACTTAAAATCCCTCATTTGACAGAAAGACTGTGTGTGCTCATCTGTGGCAAGCACAGTGGACTTAGTCATTGTTTCTTGATATCTCAGCTGGTTCTCACCCCTGTTTGCTCAGCAATATTACATTTTATTTGCTCAGCAATATTACATTTTACAGTATGTATGTGACAAAGAGGTTTTCTACCTGGAAGGTAGTGTAAACAAACATGATTCGCTCTATTCACTCACAGACATCAAAATGCAGAACACATTTCTGGATTCTCATTCAAAAGTTAATACTGATCCCCTAGAGCAAATGATGAGATACATTTTTACATTTTCTTGGTGACACAGCTGAGAAGTGGCAGGCGGTCTACACCATCCTGGAGGCTTTTGGCAACAGCTCCACCTCTATGAACACCAACGCCAGCCGCTTCTCCCACGTAGTGTCCCTCGACTTCGACCAGGCTGGGCAAGTGGCCTCCGCCTCCATCCAGGTAATACACACTTAATACTCACAATGGAAACAGGTGTAAACAGGTGTAATTTCAACTTAAAATGTGGTAAACCCAAAGAAACAATTGGAGAGATAAAGGTTTGGAGAACAAAACAGAGTCTGTGCTGTGCTGAGTGTTACCCTAACAGAAGTGTCTGACTCGTGTTATCTCCTGCTCAGACCATGCTGCTGGAGAAACTGAGGGTGAGCAGACGACCTGAGGCAGAGTCGACCTTCAACGTCTTTTACTACATGATGGCCGGAGCCGACAGCAGCCTGAGGTGACTCCTCAAACATTTCTTTGTCAACACAACAGCAGCATTTGGGCAGCAGTAGCTCAGTCCAAAGGGACTTGGGTTGGGAACTGGAGGGTGGCCTGTTCAAGTCCCCATCCGGACCAAATATGGAGTGTAGACTGGTGGCTGGAGAGGTGCCAGGTCACTTCCTGGGCACTGCCGAAGTGCCCCTGAGCAAGGCACCGAACCCCCCCAACCTCTCGGGACGCCTGACCAAGGCAGCCCCCTCACTCTCGCCCCTGCATGTGAATTTCCCCTCAGGGGGATTAATAAAGTATATAAAATTAAAAAATAAATAAATAAATAAAAATTTAATTAAATTTGAATAGCATAACTATGAAGTATTCAAATATGTCTTTTTTACCCTTATAACTATTTTTTGTGGTATTTGATCACAAAAGGGGGCGGCACGGTGGTGTGGTGGTTAGCACTCTCGCCTCACAGCAAGAGGGTTGCCGGTTCGATCCCGGGCGTGGGAGCCCTTCTGTGCGGAGTTTGCATGTTCTCAGCGTGGGTTCTCTCCGGGCACTCCGGCTTCCTCCCACAGTCCAAAGACATGCAGATTGGGGACTAGGTTAATTGATAACTCTAAATTGTCTGTAGGTGTGAATGTGAGCGTGAATGGTTGTCTGTCTCTATGTGTCAGCCCTGTGATAGTCTGGCGACCTGTCCAGGGTGTACCCCGCCTCTCGCCCGATGTCAGCTGGGATAGGCTCCAGCCCCCCCGCGACCCTCAAGAGGATGAAGCAGTTAGAAGATGAATGAATGAATGAATGATTACAAAAGGGGATTACAAGTTTGGTTTTTAAATTGGTCTCCAATTTCAGGGAAATTTGTTGAGATCATTTTAATTCTGTTTTGGGCATCACAACTCATCAGAGCAAGGTGGAACAAGTCTGTTGTGGTTGTTCCAGGCCAGCTTGAAAGAAGGAGGAAGTGTGCATCTACTGCTAGCTAACCTTGCACCTGAGCTAGCTAACATTACAGCTCAGCTGTAGAGGATGCCATTAATGTTTACATCTCATGCTGTAACGAGCATGAGCCTCTTGTCAATGAGTAGATGCACGCTTCGTTCTGCGCAGTAATACAGTGGTGGGAGTCGTTCAGTAGAAAAAAAATAGTTCCTATGCAAAACTGCTCACAACAAGGTCTGTAAATTATTTTGAGGAGCCAGGTCATGATTTCTGTAAAGAGACATTGCTGATGAGTTTTTTCAAATGTATTTTTTTGGTGCTTTGAACACCACAAACTAGTGCCATCTAGTTCTATTTTATTGGAGAAAAGGCAGCCATTTCTACGGCCAATATCTCTAGCACTCAGCAACTCACACCAAAAATATCTAGTTTGATAAATAGTACTGCAGGTAAGAGGAAAAAATATGTATTTTTGATTTTGATATGAAACATGTTTGATATAATCTGATATAATTACCATGAGAAATGATACCTACACTGGCCAGTAAACATAAAAACATATAAAATGGTAAGAAAGCAATGTTCTGTGAGTGAGTTTCAAGTCAGAGCCACAGCTAAACTAGCCTGGTGAAACCATCCTGGTCTTGCGAGCTCATATTCTATTTTGCTCCGCAGATCAGTCTGACCATGCAATCATAAAGGCACATTCTGGCATTGTTAAAGCTTAACGGACCAATCACAACCGTTTATTACTTTGAGGCGGGCACGTCATCAGAATAGGAGGGACAAGGAACAGATTGAATGCATTTCATAAACAACCAACATGCCTACTGATTTTGAAACTGCTATGGTAAATGTGTTGAACGAAATGGAATGTATATTTTCTTTAAAAGCAGAGCAAACGGCTGCACTGAAAGCTTTTATTGAAAAAAAGGATGTGTTTGCCATCCTTCCTATGGGGTTTGGTAAAAGTTTAATTTACCAACTGGGTCCGTTGATTGGGAAAAAGATGGGACTCAGTGAAAAGCTAGTTGCTCTCTCATGGATGAGCAAGTCAGGGAAGCGACCAAACTGGGAATCACAGCCATGCAACTCGGAGTCCACAGTGAGGAGAAAATCCGCAAAGACGGCAACACTCTTTCCCAGACATCAGGCTCGTTTGAGATGAGCCAGGCCTGCGCAGATTCGATCACCAGCGATCGGCGCACAATCCATGCCAGTTAGTTTTGTGTCTGACTGCGCTGTAGTTGCTCTCCACCGACTGCACCGCCTGGCTCTCACCTGATCTAACAGCTGATTGGTTCAGATGTTGACTCAACAATATGACGTTTTAGATAAACTACTCCTTTTTGTTGAATTTCACAGATTAAGGTTTAATTTCTCTGATTTGAGGTGAACAGAAAACATGTTGTGTGACTGATGAAGTTTAGTCGTCACAGACTGAATACATTCATCATAAACTATACAGAGTCTACTGTACTATATTAATATTGGACAGTTTAATTATTGAAGTATTTAACATCACAGAGACTTGTGGTCAGTGGGATGTGAGGATTCTTAAAATAACATCAGATGTGAAGCCCTGACTATATCTGACTGAGCCTTAATGAAAGCTGTTATCTAGTATTTTTTTTCCTCTGAAAATATGAACCTTATAGTCAAACACAGTTTATTTAGCCTGTGTAGTTGAGGGGACAGGTCAAACTGATATGATGCTGATTTACAGGAGAATTCATGTCAAATGGAGGATAAAACATGAACATAAACTACAGATCACCTGTAAAGCATTTTAATAAATTAATCTATCATAATTAAAACAACTGGAGACTGAGAACAAACTGATATATGGGTCTGATCACTTTTTTAATGAATTGACATCATTCCAGACAGGATGTTAGTGTGTCTGTGACTTCCTGTACGGACTGAAGGCTGCTGGGAACTGTCCGACTTCACCGCAGCTTTTTGTCACCGCCCCCCGCTGCGGCCGCCTGCTCTCGTCTACTTTCCAGGCGAGGCGCAGTTCATCTCGAACGGGCCTACTATCACAGCTCATCTCCGCTGTAGCTTGCTGGTCTGTTTACAGTGGCATTGTGCTAGCCTACATCACACGTTTCGTTGAGTCTGATTGGTTTTCCGTCTTTCCAATTGCGTGAAGGGGCGACAGCCGTTGATACCACCCCTCGGGAACAGAGGAAATGTACACTCCAGCTGTGTCCCAATTCAGGGTCTGCATCCTTAAAAGGATGCGGCCTACGCAGCCCTCGCGTTTTGCAAATTGGGTCTGGCAATGCCAGGCTACAGCTAAACCTCACTCTGGTGAAGTTCATTCTTTTACAGCTCTCTCTGCACAGTTTACCTTCCATGTTTCCAGTGTCTCCTGAGTCAGTTTTTCCTCCAAATTTAAAGGTTTTCAAGGGTTTTTTTCTCTATCATGAAAATGTATGCGTGAATTATCAGGGCAAACCGTTTTTTTTTTGGTTTTTTTGGATGTCCTTTTCTTTTTTGGTACAGTACCACTCAAGATTTTAGGTTGTCGCAGGATTTGGAGGATTTTTTACTCAATGCAACTGTGTCTGAAATCACTTCCTTGTTCACCTACTCCATCTTCTCTATATAAATAACACTAGTGGTTTACTTATAGAGCAGTGAAATGAGATGCCGGCTTTTGAATCTTTATCATTTTGCATCACAAATGTTTGGTACTGTGGGATAAACTAAGTCAAAAGACTGTTGTTGAAATTCATGAGACTTTAAAACCACACACAACAACATCCAGAGGTGTGAGCATTTCACTAGCTGATCTCAGTACCCTCTGTCTTTCCTCCTCTCCTCCAGAACGGAGCTGCACTTCAACCACCTGGCTGAGAACAGTGCTTTTGGGATCCTACCACAGACTAAGGTAATCACACTGGGTGGTCCAGCTGAAATGTGTCTGTTTTTAGGCTTTCATTTCCTAGTTTCTTTATGCTTTATATCATATATGCCTCATGTTATAGCCCCATATTAATATTTGAAAGTAAGAAAAAAATCATATTAACATATACATAAATTAGTTTTAGGGATGCTAGGATTGTGAAATTCTGGGCTAATATTTATGTTAAAAATGACAAATTGGCAGATAGCTGATACCAGTGTTTACCCCTGGACAATGGGACGACAGGATGCTGCAAGTCTGGAGTCTTGCTTTATAACCTAATAATGTGAAGCAACAGAAAAACATTGGCCATGGGGTGCACAGTAGCTCAGTAGGTACGGTGGGCGTCTCATGTACAAAGGCAGTGTCTTTGCTGCAGCAGCCGCGGATTCAATTTCAGTCCAAGGCACTTTGCTGCATGATGTCCCCCGCCCCCCCTCTCTCCCCCTTTCATGTTTCAAATCATAACTGTAATTGAAGGCAAAACCCCCCCAAAAAATGAAAAAAAAAGGTCAGAAAAACATCAGACACTGCCATCAATGAATGTCATCTTATTTGCAGATAGGCCGTTGGCAGTCAGCTTGGCTAATATCAGCCAATACTGATGCTAATGAATCTGTGCATCCCAACTAATTTTCTTTACACAGCCCATAACATGAAAAATGTTATTGAGATGGTTCCTTTTTCAGCAGTTGGGACTAAGAAATGTACTGGGCAGGACATTTTACAGGTGACAAATAAACTTTGGCAACAGTGTTTCTAACATATCTTCAACATTTTTGTACTTAAGTTTCATGTCATTTATCAGCTAACCTATAAGCAGATCCTGATGTATCTGCTGTAAGCTAATATTTTTCAGTCAGACTCTAACCTGTGGGGTGTTTAATGATGAAATAAATGTATTTAAGTAGCTGTTTGATGTGATCATTTTGTCTCCAGCCTGAGGACAAGCAGCGAGCCTCGCAGCAGTTCACCAAGCTGCAGGCAGCCATGAAGGTGCTGGGGATCTCTGCTGAAGAGCAGAAGGCCCTCTGGCTCATCCTGGGGGCTGTGTACCACTTGGGGGCTGCAGGGGCAACTAAAGGTAGGGACTCCCAACTGACTGACTTCAAATACATCAAATCTGGAGTACATCGCATTTCTGCAAGACTGTTCATTGCTTATACTGATCGTTGCATGATGAGAAGATAGACATCAAAATCTTGCATGTGTCCCTGACTCTGTGCTTTTAGTGCTCTACAGCAGCACTGTGGCATTTATTATCTTGCCGAGATATTTTAAAGGGTGAGAGGTCAAATCATAAAAATGGGACATTGAGAAGCAAACATTGAAAGGAAAACAGCAAATCATATGCAAAAATATTAAGACCACATCCACACTAATTCGTTTTTTTTAAAGCAGCATTTTTAAATGAAAATGATCTCTGTACACACAAGCATCTTAGCACAGTTTCAGAATTAACCTCTGTCTCTACTAACATGTTTGAAAACGCATATCACATGACCATTGAGGCACACTAGGTGTGCAAGTGTCAGTGCAAACAGGAAGCTGACAGTCTACTCCGTGGTTGGCTGCTTGGTTACAAAAAAAACCTACAGAGATGGTGAAAAGTAAGACGAGATTTCTTTGCTTGGACCAACAACAAGGGGGAACTTAAGAGATGGCAGAAATAGACTGGGAGTCGCTGCAAACCAAATACAATGGCATGTTAGAGTGGAACCTTAAGCATTATTCGACGCTGGGGGAAGCCTTGGTGATAGGAAAGAAGTACCCACACAAGAAGGATGAAATGACAAAATGTATGTAGACCGGGCTACAATGTTTTGGCTTGACACATGACTGATGAGATCCAGCCAGGAAGCAAACGTGGGTGTCTGTGTCATTGTTTTCAAAAGTCTCCATTTCCACAACCCCAGAGTTTTCAAACTAAGACATGGTCAGCAGGGTTTTCAAAGCTCTCCATTTTAGGGGTTCCAATACGCCACAGTAGTGTGGACACTGCAAAAATGTAGCAACAGTTCTGCGTTTCATAATGAGAACGTATTAGTGTGGATGCAGCCTTATTGAGTAAGGTCAATCCTTCAGAGGAGCTACAGGCCAGGCTGGACTGGCTCCTCCTTCATAAATGAGAAAAAAATATTTGTTCTTATCTTGTAATGCTGAATAAGACCAGTGACCCAACCTCCAAAACACTTTGTTCATTCCTTTAACAAAACTGATAACAAAGACTAATCTTGGTTTGTCAGTTGAGTGTGTATGTGACACCCGTTTCTATAATAGACTAAGGAGATGCACGTCTTTAAAACAACATGCAACAGTACATGCATGTCCTCTCCTTTGCCTTTCTCTAAAATACATCCTAGAAGCACCTCTTGTTTTAATCTCCTCTCTTGGCCCATGCTCAGTATAACTGGAGGACTGATGTCACTCACTGTGTCACATCCTCTTTCATTACAATGCCTCAGTGTTTTTCCCATGGAATTGAAATGGAAGGGAAAGACCAAAAGCACTTTGAAATCAATTCTTTCTGTTGCTGCAAGGCTTTTGATTAGTGTCAGGAAAAATTTCGGCCTCAAAGTCTGATTTGGGAAAGGCTGGGTGTTCAGTGTATGACAGACAGATGAAGACAGATAAGCAAACACTGTAGTCACAGACAGGTGAGTGCAATAATGACCTTTCAGCTCAGTGCTCTACTTCAGGGTCAGAACTGGCCAGTTCAGAGAACAGTATATGCAGGGGATAAAGAGTATTGTGAACACCTGCGAAACATAGGATGTCAGCCAGCTTAATAGCAATACAATATGCTAGGGATGCACCGAAATGAAAATTTGTGGCCAAAGCCAAATAATATTAAATGCTTGGCCGAATATCGAATGCCGTTTTTTTATTAGTTTTCATTAGTTTTTGCAGATGAACCCCCTCCAGATTAGTGTTGTCAAGGTACCAAAATTGGGACCCACGGTGTGATACCAGTGAAAGTATCATGGTTCTGAGTAGTATCACGATACCACAGCAAAAATGAGGCAGATGTGCCTTTTGTCATTTATAAAAAGATAAATCACTTTTCTATAATACATCAATGATATTTCAATGGAATAAATTACTTATTGACTTATTCTTACTTCAAAAACAGCATCAATAAGTGATTAACATAGCGGGGATTGAAATAAGATAAATAAATGAAATAAAAATCAACCAGCCACCCTCCTCCCCTGACAAGTCCCTTCATAAGTAAAGAACAGTCCCTAAAGTGCGGTGAGGTTTGTGGGCCGTTACCTGACACAGAGAGAAATGTGAACTGCTTGTTTTTCCTCTGATACGCCACATACTGTGTGCCGCCATGGCTCGGCTGTTCAGGTAGCCTGCTTTTGGGCAGTCATGACAACAAGTTATTCACCTGGAGCCCGCCGCCAGTAAGCCGTTATCATACGCCGCCGTATTTGACAGGAATAGCCTACGTATTCCTGTCTGTGTCTGTGACCCCCGTTCAACCCACAACCGATGGGATTTGCCGTTTTGTTTCTGCTGCTGGTTGAAATCTGTACTCACACAGCGTGCTGAATGATTTATTTTGCCCGCACAAAACTATTTTTAGTCGCAAATGCGAGTGCGGTGACGGACGGAGTAAAATATCGCCACACTGACGATATTTTACTCCGCCCGTCACCGCACGCTGTTTCATTGCGTTATCAAAACACGCCGCTATTATTCGGCCTTGCTTTTCACTTATTCCACCGAATACCGAATGTGTGTTTTTTTGCAATATTCGGCCGAATATATTCGGTTACCGAATATTCGGTGCATCCCTACAATACGCACTACTTTTGTGAAGACTATAATATTGCATTTTTGTTGAGACTGACAGAAAGGCTGTTTTAAAGTTTTGTCCACCGAGAGGTCAAAATAACAAAGGGTTTGTGTTATCAGCATGTCATCAGTAGAGACAGAGATGTGAAGAAACATGGTTCTGACAGCATGACAACAGCAAATAATTTTTTACCTACATGGCATTGTAAAATCTATTTGAAACAGGAGGAGTGTTCTTATTCTCATATCTCTGTCTCTGAACACTCGATTTATTCATTTTACCCAGCAAATTGTTTCTTTGTCCTGCCAACCATGTATTCATTTACTTCACCTCATTACTCAACATTAATGACATCATGGTCCTGCTTAAATTACCAGAAACTGCTCCAAATGAAATCAAATTGTTGATAGTAGCAAAAAACAGACTGGAGATGACTTTTTACCAACTGCCACTGGGTGTCAGGCTTTACATGTGAATGCACACACACTCAGTAGGCAGCATGCTTACAGCAACAATAACTAGGAATACAAGATTTTTCCATTAGATGCTGGACTTCATACTGATTTTTCAGTTTGTAGCATGGAAATCAACTGTTTTTTGGTCACCCAAATCACAAAAAAAACAAAATAGCATTTTCTTACTCTAGTGGTGTATAATGATGCAGATAGTTTGGGTTGTCTGAGATTTCCGAGAAGTCTTCTCACCAAAAGTTGGATCACATTTTTGTGTAAAATGTATGTATGTATGATGGATGGGCCAAGACCAAACCAAGAAAAAACATACCCAAACCAAAAGTACATAAAAGTATGCAGACAGGGTTGTCTTTACACTTCTAGGAGTATAGTGTATCTGCATTGCTAAGTTCCACTAGATGTAATGAGAAAACGTTTATTTGTAATTTGGGTGAACCAGATTCCAGAACTTAAGGATTCTTTTTGAAAACATGGTAACACTGAATTGCAGGGAGCAGATAAATGTAGTCAGTAACGTCCTTTTAGTCAAGAAGCACATACATTTACAGACCTGTATGAGCATTCTGTGTTAAGTGCAGCATAGTTTACATGACTTTTGTCGAATATGCCTGTATCAGACAAATTTGTGAGATTGGACACAAAAAAACTTTTAAAACACTACAGAATGACAATTAGTCCTCTAGTTCAAGCAACTCCAAGATGTTTGACCTTGTTGTAACTGTCCGAGCTGTCATGAGCCTCTTCAGTGGTTTTGGGACATGTTTGATAATGGAGCTTCAAAGTTTTTTCTTGACACTGGAAACAGCAGTTGACAAATCGGTGTCAACTGAAGGTCCCTTCAGATGCTAATTCTGGAGCTTTTATTCAGAGTCCTAATCAGAATAATAGGTTTAATCACTTTCCATTGAAAATTTCAACTCAAGGTCCATTTACTCTACCACTGAAAAAAGTCAAATGCTCAAACATTCCAGAAAAATCTTATAAAAGGGTTCCTACACATTATACTGCGTAGGAAGCAGTGTAGGAAGTATGGAATTTGATTGTAGTCATTTCCAGGTCTGGATAAGTATGGGAAACAACAGAATATTGTCTTTCCAGACTGTAGCCCTTATTCTGTTTTCTAAAATATACAATTCAAAATTTCTAAAAATAAATTGGTCATACAAAAGGAGTGTTTTTATCCCAGCGTTTGGAAAAGGCAGCCAACACAGCCAAAGTTTTTACCATTGTGTGAGAGAGTGCGGGCCAGAACGAGCTTGAGGTTGTTGAAATTAAGGCAAAAAATAGTGCAGAGCGCCTGTATGTCAAATCCTGCAAACATTGAACCAAATCCAGACATCCACGACCAAATGAGTTTGAAAATAAATGCAACAGTATCTGTAAATTGCATATAGAGTACATAGCATCACGGATAATCAAATATCAAGCTTGTCTGGACATGTCAAAGATGGTTTGAAAAAAATTACAGACAAAGTCTGGATATTTGAATCTGGAAAAAAATGAATTTTAAAGTGGAAAATATGTAGGAACCCTGGAGCAAGCAGACTGGCCTTTTTTTTTTTTACACTGTTAAGTGGAGGTGTCCAACCTCTGCCATAAATCACTGCAGGAAATCCTGAGACATGGAGCTGAGTGCAAAGAAGGAGGAAAGTATTGGACAAATATGCACACAATAAAGTTTTAAATGGTTTTGTTGAAAATATTTGCTCTGGTTTTGTATCTCTACAACTGGAATAATCAGCACACCTCGTCTTGGGACAAGAAATATCTTGTAGTTAGTAACGATTGTGTGATTTTGAAAGTCCTCAGTCTGCACTGACTGTTACTTTACTGAAAGTAGAGGACATTCTTTTAGTTGAGTCCATTGTCTTTTTGGGGGAAGCCCCCTCATGGACTCGTGGCAGTCCACAGAGTGTCATTTACCCTCCACTGATCTAAACCAGGGGCCTGTGGATCTTACAGTGACATGTCTTTCTCAACTTGCTCTTTCAAAGCATGATGGTGGGTGTTAGTGCTGTTGAATGCTGTTTTCTTGTGACTATGAATTGATGAATCTGTGAACTGTGTTATCTCTAACCCCCTCTCTTTGCTTGCATGTTTGCATGCTGTGCCCTATCAAACGCAGACGGAGATGAAGGTAATAGAAAAAACAACACACAAGTTGACTGTTTTTCACTTAAAAACTTTATTTCAGAGGCTCTCTTGTTTGTATTTTATGTCTTAATGCCTTTATCATTCCTTCCAGGCCTTAAGACATTAGCATTTTTATTGTTTCTGTTCCTCCTCCCCCGACTCTCTTCATCTGCTCCTCTCTTGTGTTTTCGTGTTTGCCTCATGATGCCTCTCCCCGCTCTGTGTCTCACCCTTTTCTCTTGCGTGAGATGAAAATCACGAGGATCAGAACTTTGCCATCCCTTTAAACTCCTCTCTCTGATGCCTTCCCATGTCGCCCACATTCAGCTCCCAAGCCGTCGTCACACTACAACACATTCTCAAAAGCAAAGTAAAGCTTGTTCATTTTCGCTTCTTTAGTTAGTGCTTTGACTTTCTACCACAGAACTTGTATTTCCCAGCTTACCCTATGTATCCCCATGAAGTTTCTGCTTGGCAGGGGCGCCTGTTGATTCTCTGGCTTTGTGTGTAAGCTCTTTGATTGGCTGGTTTTGCAGGCTGTCGTGTTGCCTTAGTTCCTTTTAACACATGGGCTTTGAATCACCTCCAGACCAAATGGAGACACACTCCTCGTACAGACTGATAGTCAGGGCAGGGCATGATCAACAGTGATTAGCAAAAATCTGAATCTGAGCTGTTAGATTTGTTTCCACTTCAAATCTCAGAAAACACCAATTTTAACTTTTTAAGCTTTTACTGTATTTGCTCCAGTTCCTACAGTCACAAACACATGTTGACACGTGATGGCTTTAATGGCTGCCATCATTTTAAGGGAGCTGTTTTTTCTTTTGGGATTTAGTGTTTCACTTCCCTTTGTCAGAGCAATTGCAAGATTTTAAAAATGATGGTCAAAAAAAATGGCACAGGCCCATATACCTAGTATGGGTTCATCTTTAAAAATTGGATGCTGCACTTCTCATCATACATCACATATTTTGTTTGAACTGTTTTGTAATTGCTCACGTCTTTCAAACCTTAAACCCCCAGTCTGCAACGCAAGAAGTGTCCAAGCCCAGATATTCAACTGATGTTAAAGAAGAATTTCTGAACAGCTGACAAAATGTTCTTTTCATAAAATCGGGCTGTCTATGCAGTACAAAGATGAAAATACTTTTGAAATGGTGCTACCTGACCACAGAAAACAGAGAAAAAGGCCTTTGGTATTCACTTTTGCTCAAGAGGTAGAAAACCTACAACTACCAGAATGCACTGCACCTCACCGGACCAGTAAACGCTCCTGCTGATGGGTGATGTAATGTGAGCTTGTCTGTTTTGACACAGAAAGCAATATGGCAGCCTGGAGGTAATATGTGATCTCACATTAGTTAGACAGTAAGCTAAAATATAATTCTGCAGACATTTGAGGCGAGAAATAGGCAACGCAGTCACAGAGTCTTGGCTCATATTTGATTAGCACTACCTAGTTTTAGAATAGAATAGAATTTCCACCACGGGTGGAAGTTTTCTTCGGCTCACCAAACACAAAAGACAGCATTGTAAAAAGCAGACAAACAGTCAGTATGGCAAGCATATAAAGTCAGTTACTTTTTAATCTCAGTTGGATCTGAGTTTGGCCTGAGTTTGAGAGAGAGGGGGCCGCTCTCTGTCTCGATCCACTTCTTTACTCAGTGTTCATGGTGGCAGGTGTACAAAATACAATTTGTAGTTCGAGGAACAGCCCTAGACCCGGTGAAAATTTAAAGTGGGATATGAGCATGGAGATCTGAGCATTGGGAAGATGGAGGGAAGATTAATACAGTTCATTTAAACATACTACCCACATTATTATGGTATAAAGTTGGTTGAAAAGTGGCAAAGTATCCTTTTAACTAATCTTATTCTGACTTAACAAAACTCCATTGTAGCCACACACGTCTACGATACGTCTGTTTTCACAGGCTGAATAGCAGTCCTCATGACTAGAATTGACTCAAATTGACTTTGACATGTTACATGAGTGGAGTGGCCCTTTAAATGCACAGCAAAGCCCATAATGTCACTTAATAGTAGGGATGGGAATTGATAGGATTTTATTGATATCAGTGCCATTATCGATTCTGCTTATCGATCCGATTCTTTATCGATTCCCTTATTGATTCCTCCTGTGAATTAATGATATCACCTCCTGTTGTTTGTAACCCAAGACATCTGCTTTCATAACGTTTTATTATGAACCTTAAAGCCATGGTCTAGTTTAGAAAGACGATGAGAAAGATTTGAAAAAAAGCACCACATCCCCTCCCCTCTGAGCTCGTGTCCCTCTCCCCTCGGAGCCTCCTAACGACACACCTCCTCCCGCGTAGAAATGTTTCAACGTCGTCTAACCACACCAAAAACTAACGGCAGCTTTCACAGTCATAAGCCAGCATTGGCATACAGTTATCTATGTCACAACAATAGCCACAATGAGTTGTCATTAATGTTACTCCTAGCTGGTGATCTAGAGATAAATCCCGGTCCACAGCCTGAGTGTGTCAACACCACGCAGCTAGTGCAGCTAACTCAGGTGAGGCAGCTAACGCAGCTAGCCCAGCATATTATAAGAACAAATGGCGTGCAAATCAACTCAACTGCCCTCATCTTACCATCCTTGGTGTTCCCATGAAATCCGACAACAGGAGCGGGGACGCGCCGAGGCTCCACAGCGGGCTAGCAGCTCCAGTGAGGCTAACAACAACAGCGTCCTGCCGACGTGTACCCGGAGCGGGGATGCTCGAGGCTCCACAGCGGGCTAGCAGCTCCAGGGAGGCTAACAACAACAGCGTCCTGCCGCCGGCTACCTGGAGCGGGGATCTGCCAAAGTTCCACAGCGGGCTAGCAGCTCCAGTGAGGCTAACAACAACAGCGTCCTGCCGCCGTGTCCCTGGAGCGGGGATGCGCGAGGCTCCACAGTGGGCTAGCAGCTCCAGGGAGGCTATTAACAGCATGAAGTGAAGCCACGGCTTTGACCGCTTCTGTCTCTCCGCCATTACGTCTTCTTTGTTGTTGAACGTGCTGCTGACTGACGAGCATAGATTCGGCGTAATGAAAAGAATCAATAAGGGAATCGTTAAGCATAAAGGCTAATGTTGTCGATGAATTGAACCAGTTGGAACCGGTTTTTAACAGGAACTGGTTCTCGATTCCCATCCCTACTTAATAGCATTTTTCGTTAGACTTTCTCTGTCTGGTTAACCCACCCTCACCTCTTTCCAAATCCACACCTTCAGTTGTAAAAAGTCACAAACTGGGATGGGAAAGAGATGAATAAGGGCCAGGCAAGATATTCAGTGGTGGTGTTTAAATTTGCTCCCAATTTTCTGCCACTTCCAATGGCTGTATCTACATAAATGTGCAGTATGGTGAAATGGGCTGTTGTTAAAAGAAAACAGGCACAGACACATTTGAAAAGATGTCAGGTGTTATCATAGACTAATATGCTTCTCTTCTCAAATGACACAGTTAGAATCGCAATATGGGTGTCATATCCCACACCTGTGTGAGCATCAAATTTAATGCTCATTTCCTGTCAGCCAGTCATTTGTAGTTCACTCCTTTCGAGACGAATCCAGCAGCCGCTTTGTATGTTCCACCATCTTGCAGTGCTGCCGTTACTGCAGGGCAAGTCAAAGGGTCTGCTGCTGCCTGCATGTGGTCATTGCCTGAGTTTATGCAGCTTGTTATGTTCACAGTAATGCCACAGTTAGTTGGTTTAGTTCATTCATTCTGTGGGACCACCACAGCCCCTAGACAGTGTAAAGTTAGCTGACAAATGTAAGCTGCGTTAGCTAAGCAGTGTTAACTTTGCTGATGTTAATTGTTTCGCAATCTGTTTTTTTCCAAAGTTGAAGTTTGCCCATTTAGTTGGAGCAGCTGAGAATTGCACAGGTTCCCTCCAATGTTGTCAAAAATAACTTTAAATAGAAAGTAGAGGTGAAAGGAGAAAACTGTACACTTCTAAGGAGAGCTTGCATTCAAGCATGCACATGTTGGGAGATGCCACTGCAGTAATGGGGCCTTGTTTACTTCCGGTACTTCCACGGATTAATCTTTACATGGATGCTACCTGATGGCATCATGGTGTACAGCATGGACACAGGAAATCAGATCGGTTGTTTGAACAGTTAGGAACTAGATGTTCTATTGATGGAAAGACTCATCCTCAAGTAAGAGTCTTAACACCTTAATTGTCAGTTTTCACACAACTCCCACAGTCGTGTTCTCGTATTCAAAATACCTTCCACTCCCGTCAACAACAGAGACAAAATATCTGTTTTGGATATACACACTTGCTGGGTCTTCCCAGCTTATCTGGGTTAAATACTGTGGTTAATGCTAATTTGTACTTTTACATCATGTTTTCAGTTCATGTTAGCTATAGCTCAGGAAGAAAAAAAGCACTATGAAACTACACATAGGTTTTCTTATGTATCTCAATTAAAGTGTCCTTTCTACCCTACTCATCCTCCACCCTCTTCATCTTTCTGTACCTGTTCTCTTCATTATCTTTCTTCATAAGGTCCTTTTTGCATATAATGTCTTTTAAACAAAACTTACTTTGTTTTCAGCGGGACGTAGGCAGTTTGCTCGCCATGAATGGGCCCAGAAGGCGGCCTACCTGCTGGGCTGTACCTTGGAGGAGCTGTCCTCTTCTATCTTTAAGCACCAGGCCAAAGGACTGCAGCACTCCACCTCGTTCAGAGGAGGACCGGATGACGCTGGCCAAGGGGACAGCTCAGGTAAAAATCCAAACTGAGTCCTTGGATCTTCTTTGTAAGAGGATTTACACACTGACATGTTCACTTTTCACTTGATATCTGATGTAGTCATTTGTGGTTGCCTTACCCCTGATATGATGAACAGTTTAGAGAGGTGCAGTTTCCCAGGCATGTCTTAAATTCAAATAAAAACAAGAAGTTTGTGCTCTAAAGAAAGGATCAGCACTCAGTGAATAACCTCCTAAACCCTATGATAAGCTAATATGGCATGGCTTAACTATACAGACCAGTGAGCAGTGATAACTAACATGTCTTTGGGGTCACTGGGTGGGATTTCGTCTAGTTGGTCCCTCGACACCTCCAGGAGGCTAGACAGTGATCTCTGGCATCCCAGAGACACTCCCCTAATGCCAAGTCTCACTGCTCCCCCCACCAACCCAATAACCTCCTTTATACCATGGTCTGGGTGAATACTCAATTTTGACTGGCTGCAGGGTGTCCGTTAAAAGGTGTTATAGGACAGCTAAAAAGACGTTCCGGTCAAATTGCCTGATGACAGATTCTAAATTATTGCGCTGGCTCAGCTGCTAGTTTGTAACCATAGCAATGGAGACTCAGAGCAAAGGCAACGGATTACAACAGGCAACCTGCAGGCTTATTGGGCTCCGTCAGCGCAGGAGAGACGAGACTGAAGCAACATCTTGTCGTCTCCAAATGTCCAAACAAGCAGTGCTCAATCTGTCAATCTCCGACCTTCAAATGCCACTATGATGGACATACCCATATCACTTTCAGATTTCACTATTAATGGTAATGTAGCATTTAATTTTAAATAGGAAACAATCGTTAATTTGTTAATGTGTTTATATGATTTAATCTCGACTACTATATGCTTATGAATTATTTGTTGCAATTAAAAATGATTTTGACTAGCCTACTATTTGGATGTTGATTATTTGAAACAAATTTTCTTGGGCTTATAAATGAACGGCAATGAAACATGAAAGTAATATCTCAAGTTTTTTTTTTGCATGTCATCCTCTGACCACCAGAGTCTGTAACACACCCGAGGTAAGAAGTGCACTGGCTTTCTGAAATAATCATCTTCATCACAATTTGCCTCACAGGGCTTTACAGCATACGACATCCCTCTGTCCTTATGACCCTCACAGCGGATAAGGAAAAACTCCCCAAAAAAACCCTTTAACGGGGGGAAAAAAAAACGGTAGAAACCTCAGGAAGAGCAACTGAGGAGGGATCCCTCTTCCAGGATGGACAGATGTGCAATAGATGTCGTACAGAACAGATCAACATAATAAATTAACAGTAATCCGTATGACACAATGAGACAGAGAGAGAGAGACAGAGACAGAGACAGATGCAGGACAGACGGTAATGACGGTAGCTTACAACAACATTAATGAAAGTAATAATATTATAATTAATAATAATATATTAATATCTGATAGTATACATGTGTGACAATAATCATATGTGTATAATAACAGTAGAAGTATGACTAATGACTAATGATAACAGCAGCAGCAGGAGGCATCTGGCAGGACCACGGCAGCAGCACAACCACACACGTCACACTGTCCAGGCACAGCTGCGATACGAGTTAACCTGAGAGACAGTGGAGCACAAAGGCTCCGGAGAAGAAGCCGAGTTAGTGACATCCAGAATGCATCCAGAATGGTTAGCAAGATGCAGTAATAGGACGAGAGGGAGAGAGAGAGAGAGAGAGAGAGACACAGAGAGAGAGAGAGAGAGAGGGGGAGAGAGAGGGAGGGAGGTGTAACATTTAGCCATCATCTCACTTCCCTTCACTGATCAGAGTCGCTATGCTCTCTACACTGCGGCCACAGCGGGTTTCCATGGCAACGCCTATCAACTACAGAGATTAAATAGTCCGCTCAGCTGTGGCTTGTGAAAAACTCTTGATTTTAACTGTAAAACACATTAAAGCATAAATAATTGATTTAATAATATTCATTTCTTTGGTAAGTGACCATGGTATAAGCGGGTTAATGCCCTTCGAGGTGTCCGTTATCAGGAATTAATGGACTTTGCGGAAGCTCCGCTTCGCGTCGGACGGTTCACGCCTCCGCGTCATTCATTAATTCCTGATAATGCACACCTCGTCGGGCATTAACCCTTACTTACCTTACTTACGCATGGCTTTCTCAGCCCAAACAGCACTGCCACCTTCAACCAAACCCAGGCTCCGTACATGCGAGCTCCAGGTAGAAACAGTGCTGATACTACCTTTCCTAGCACATTCACCACACTCTGTCTCACACGCTACATAGCATAACTACAATATAGGCTAAAGTTAAAGGAGATAAATAAACTTAAAGGATCAGCAAACACACTCACCTTGCAGCATGGTCTCAAACAAAAGGGATTCAAATGGGCCACTCCCACACTTAAATAACCTTCCTCTTCATGGATTTCCTCCTGAGAGGAAGTGGATCTCTCCACCTGATCTCAAGGAGTTATGTACTCTCTGCATAGTAGTTCCCCCTGCTGGCCCCCAACTGACAAAAATTTAAGTCCTTGCAGAAAACACTATGCTCACTTTTTGCTCCGTAGAAGTAAAACCCTAAAACACCTGCACTGGCTGTGAGCAGTAGATATCTGCTGTAGACTGGAGGTTGATTAGAATTGACGTTCTTCATCTTTTTTTTTTTTCCCCCCCCCCCCCCCCCCCCCCGTTTCTCAGGCTCCAAGGTCACAGCTCTGGAATGTTTGGAAGCCATGGCATCAGGACTCTACTCAGAGCTCTTTACTCTTGTCATCTCCCTTATTAACAGGTCAGACCTTTGAATATTTAGCCCGAAGCATGTCACTTCCTTATTTTGGTCTTGTTTGGAGTTCTTTTTCGAAAGCATTCATGATGTAGTACCCACATATATCTGTTGATTAAGAGCAGCTTCTTACTCAAAGTTTCTTTGGTAGTATTAACATGGGATGCAGATTCATACCTACTTTCCTTCTATGTTCCTTTTTTCCCCTTATCCTTCATTCTTCTACCATTGCTTTTTGGCTTTAACTTCAACCTTCCATTCTTTCTCTCTCACCTTACTCTCTCCTGGTTACTTTTATGCCTCCATGCCACCAATAGCTGTGGCCAGAGGCTTTATGTTTTCAAGTTGTCCGTCTGTTCATTCATCCATTCCATTCATATTATGGGTATTGAATGAAGTAATCTATTGGTATCAGTATCACTTAAAGGGTACTGGTATTGGTGCTGGTATTTTAACTTTTTAAACGGTACCCAAGGCCCTAAATGAGGTGCTGTGGACATATACTGATTGTGTTTTTCAGAAGAAATCTAAGTCTGTGTTTTGCTTGTTACATAAATTGAACTATTAATTTGGTGAGGAAATTAAAAGATAGTCCTTTATAAGACTTCAGTTCAATTTTAAGTTGGTACCTTGTATAAAACTCTATTTTAAGGTTTTTCTTTTATTCTGTCAACCCGTTGTGTACTCAGAACGTACATATGCTAAAGGTGAAACTGCTCTTCTCTGTTGTAATGCATTGTTAAAGGAATGTCTTTGGATTTTGGACGTACAAAACAAACTATGTGCATCAAATCTATAGCACTAAAGCCTCATGATATCTTTGTGTCCTTCAGGGCTCTGAAGTCCAGTCAGCACTCTCTGTGTTCCCTGCTGATCGTGGACACACCAGGTTTTCAGAACCCACGGCTAGCTCAGCAGCAGCGGGGAGCCACATTTGAGGAGCTCTGCCACAACTACACCCAGGAGAGGCTGCAGACCCTGTTTCATGAACGCACCTTTGTCCAGGAGCTGGAGAGATACAAGGAGGTGCTGCTGGGCTGACAGAACACAACTCTAGATATTGACTTAGAAAGAGCATAATCATATTAGCGCATCAGCTTTTTTCTATTCTAGGATTCTGTGTGGTTAAAATATTCTCAGTTACATAAAGTTAAAAATATTGACCGAAATGGTTGATTTTTTCAAATAACAACAAAATGATATATTGTCTCTAGTGGCGTCTAACTATGCAGATATTGTAATTTTCTTTAACAGTGGAAGCCAATGGAATGTATTGGTGTCCATGGCATTGAAAAAATGACATTTAGAAACATTTCACAGAGCACACCATCTTCAACAGTATTCTTAGGGACTGTAGCTTCTTTGCATATGACGTCATAGATTGGTGCGCTCTCCAGATGGAAGGCAGGCAACTGGAGGCAAAGATTACCAACACTGCATATACGCCTATGGTTTGCACTGTTTACAGCTGTTCTAGTCAATCACATTGGGAACAAACAAAAACAAGGGCCGCCAAAAATAATGGGACTTAAAGGTGAGAAGTAAAATTTAAAAAAAAGTCACTTAAGCCTTGTTCAGACAGCAGCCCAAATCCTTTTTTTTTGCAAATCTGAACAGAATCCGATCTTACTGACTGACCGTTCGCATTACATATTGCAAGTGATCAGATCCGATCTATGTCCATATTGACGTAGTCTTATCCACATTGATTTCCATGGTAACAGGCTACGCCCAGGAAAAACAAACAATGGCAACAGCAAACTGTGTGTGTTTTTGTCCCAAATGGTTATGTGGACCCGCGGTGCAAACTTTCTCCTAATTGCAAGGAAGCAACAGAAACGGAGGAGACTGCTAAGTTGTGCCGCCTTTCGTGCTGCCATCACTGCTGGAATGGTAGTGGAGCGATTAGTAATGAGTGAAATCAAAACTCCTGTCCAGTTCTCTTTTTTCCATCATGGCATTATAGGCCTACATTATGATAGAAATTATGTTGGGTTTTTACTTTTACTACTCAACATCACAAGTGTTTTTTTGTTGTTGTTTTTTTTAAATCCGTTAAGAAAAGTGATGTTAGCATTATGAACTTACCATTCCCAGGTGTATCCAGCCTTTCTTCCTCATCTTCCTGACTGTTGCTTTCCTGAATGTTGCGGTCTTCCTCTGCTGCACTGTCCAGAACAAATTTAGGATCCACACTGGGCTTGTCACGAAGAATTTCATCGAGATACTCATGTCCTGATATATGGCTTTTTCTGTATGTACCTTCTAATTTTTTCTGAACTGACAAATCCCCCCCCCCAGATAGCTATCAGGCACTTTATCTCCTTGTCCGTCCATGGTTTGTTGTTTTCCTCCATGCCTTTAACCCGTGGCTTGACTATTTCTTCCACCTGTAACTCCACAGGCTTCGCTAGGCAAGGAGCGTCGTTGTTGTTGTTGTTCGTGTTGTGCTGCGAGTGACTCAGAAGACACTTGTAAATCCTATTTGAGCGACCGAGACGCTCAGATTGAAACAGATCTGAAAAAAAAAAAATCAGAATCCCATTTAAACCATCTCCGTATGTGGTTTGAATCAGATTTGGAAAAATCGGATCTCATGTGTTTTTTCGCTGTCCAGACTGTCGGAAAATCAAGCTAGATATAATCTGGAAATGCTAAAAATACGATTTGGAGTGGTAATCTGAACAAGGCCTTAGAAACAGTGGCAGATGTGGATCAACAACTTTCATCTTAGGGGTGGAGTCAAATAAAGTGTAAAGTTAAAGCGTTGTGTTAAACATGCCTGGAGTTGGATACGGTTGCAATGAGCTGTGACATGTTCCCCATGTTTTTAGCCATGACTCAGATCTGAAACAGTTGTTCTAGTAAGTAGAAAACAGTAACTCAAGTTACCTAACATTAGCTGGTAGCCTGACAGCAGTCCAGCCATGTACAGAGTTGAAATATGAAGATAATTATACACAAGCACATTTACTCACCAGGCCAAAAACAGGACTGCACTCTTGTGCACTTTCATCAGCTCAATGTGTAACGTCAGTAACACTGAGGCCTGGAGGACAAGGCCATTTGTACCAACGATAGTGTCCACACCGGGCAAATCGGTCAAGTTGTAGGGAAAATCAATTTTCTTCGTTTTGTATGGATCACATCCAACATGAGTTTCAATTTTCTGACGATAGCTGTTGCCTGCAGGTTCATCCAGCCCTTTTTTGCAGTCACTTTTCCTCTGTATCCAGTTCACACAGTGTATGGATTTATCACTTCCTGCCCTCCATCTGAATTTTGCGCATCATAATAGTCACATGACTGCAAACAAGCTATTATTACTGCTGGAAGTAGGTCCCATGAAAACTTTTCACATCAAATTATTGTCCTTGGTTCCCTTCAGCTCTACTGTTTTGGTTGCAAGCTTAAATCTCAGAGACAGTAATCTCAACAAGTTGGACGATTAAAAGCAGAACTACCTGTATGGAAACATACCACTAGAGGCAACTGAGAAAGATACATCCAAAGTCAAATTAACTTAATTATAGTGCTCTGCAAAATCAAATAAGAAACGTGTCACAAGCATTGTGCTAACAACAAAGAGATGTACACTCACACAACCCAATCTACAGTCTACTATTGGCTAATTTTATAATCAACCTGAATAGCTACAGTTGTGATTAATTTATGATCTCATCTTCTGCTGGTATATCTCCTGTAGCTTACTAACCTGAATCTTTATCCCCTCCTGCATCTAGGAAAACATAGAGCTTGCTTTAGATGACATAGAGTCCAGTACCTCACTGTCTGTAGCAGCTATTGACCAAGCCTCAACCCAAGCTCTGGTAAGCACAAGAAACATCACGATACTACTGTATGTCTGTTTCAGGCATCTCTGTGCATGTGATGTCATTGTATTCTGTCCTGCCTGAAACCTCTTATCAGAAAAGGTCATTAGCCTCACAAAAAAATGTATTTATCTATTTGTCTGCCAGGTGTTTGGTGCTTTTTTGTCAAATTGATTCTTTATCCTTTAATAGTGACAAAAGCAGACATTTTATATGTTGTACCAGGCCTGCTGCCATCCAATTAGTTTGGCTCTCTGTGTTTGTAGCTCATTTCTTTCTAATTTGCTCCTTTTCCTTTTGGAATTCTTTCTACATCAGCAATATTAATTGGAATCAAGTTTGTGATTTGTTTCCCTCTTGTTGACTTGGAAGGGTCCCTCTCCCTCTGCTCATCAGTTGGCCTCTTATTGCAAAGCCCATTCAGTTATTAGGGGTACAAGTAAGTGTGGCTCCTGGCCTTGGTAGAAAATGTGGAGCATTGGTGTGTAGAGGCCCAAGCTAGTGGCATTAACAATTGTTTCAAAATGCCTGTGAATTGATTTGTGTTGAAGTTGATTGTAATTCCCTAACCTTGACTAAGTTGTCTCGTTCGAGATGATCCAGACCTGCACACATTTGATCCCCGGCGATCACCGCACTTATTACAAAAGTGGACAGCGATAATCTTGTGGTAGCGAGGCAGCTGCAGTTTTTGGAGCCATGCGCTGCAGTTGCTCTCCACCGACTGCAAAACCCAGGGCATGACGGAAAACGCCTGGCTCTCACCTGACCTCATACACTAGCTAATTGGTTTAGATGTCGACTCAACAATATGACGTTTTAGATAAACTCTTAATTTTTGTTGAATTTCAAAGATTTAAATGTTATTTGTCTGATTTGAAGGTTTATTCTGTGAACAGAAAACATGTTGTGTGACTGATGGTGAAGTTTAGTTGTTAAAACTAAATACATTCATCATAAACTTTTTTATTTCTTTCTTTTATATTTAACACATAATTAACAAAGGAAAATCAGATAAAAAAAAACACAGGGATGGGAAATAAACAAGACAAAACAAAACACAACAAGACAAAGAAAACAATCAGAGAAAGAATTAAGAATTAAGAAAAAAGGGGTGGGGGTGGGGGGTGATGCAAGGGTGACATTCATGTTAGATATGTTACATAAAATAGATCTGATACATCCATTATGGGTGGGGGCTACTGTTTCAAACGTGCAAGGACAGAGTCCCAGTCATCCTCCAGCCCCTTATCAAAGTCTTTTAACAGGCAGGCTGCCTGTTCCATGTTTAGTAGGTCCAAGTGTTCCTTCAGCCAAGAGTCCCTTGAGAAGCAGGGTGCTTTACACTCCTTCCAGTTTAGAATTATCAGTCTCTTAGTGGATAGGCAAGCCAGTGTCCATAGGCACTCAACAGTTACTCCAACATTATTATATCCAACTTCAGGCCCAGCAAGCATACTCTGGGGGGATTGTTTTAATTATTGAAGTATTTAACATCACAGAGACTTGTGGTGAGATGTGAGGATTCTTAGAATAACATCTGTACAGATGTGAAGCCCTGACTATATCTGACTGATCTTTAATGAAAGCTGTTGTCTTGTATTTTTTTTCCTCTGAAAACATTAACCTTATAGTCAGACACAGTTTATTTAGCCAGTGTAGTTGAGGGGACAGGTCTGCTCAGCTGCTCTGCAGCAGCAAACTGATATGATGCTGATTTACAGGAGAATTCATGTCAAATGGAGGTTGAAACATGAACATGAATTATAGATTGCCTGTAAAGCATTTTAATAAATTAATATATCATAATTAAAACAACTGGAGACTGAAAACAAACTGATACATAGTCTGACAGTATTTTTAATAAATCAACATCATATTGGACAGGATGTGAGTGTTTCTGTGACTTCCTGTACGGACTGAATGCTGCTGGAAACTGTCGGGAAACGGTCCGACTTTACTGCAGCTTTTGGTCACCGCCCCCCGCTGCGGCCGCCTGCTCTCGTCTACTAGTCTTTGCCTAACAAATAGTGTTTGTCCCCAACACATTTGTCATTCTAAATGAAATGTCTCGGCAACAATTAGATGGATTGCTGGGAAATTTTATTTAGGCATTCGTGTCATGCCTCATGACATTCATGGGGCTGAGGGCAGAGACACACCAAACCAACATCACAAAATTAGTGGTGATGAAGGCTGACTGTTGCTTTGCCTCATGTTGTCTATTTTCTTGGCCAAAAAATTGCCACCAGTGGCCAACTAGCAAGTACGTATGTTCTGCACCTATGTGAGAGGAAATTACTCTCCACAGCAGCAGGCGGCAGTAGTCTGTATTCGTCATTCAAAAAGGCAAACCGGAGGACAGACCGGTGGGAATCAAGACACTAGTTAGCCGGTTAGCACATTGACAACACACTCGACATTAACCATGCGCTCGAGAAGAGTAACACCAACAGTTGCAAACTGTTTTTGCTAAAGAGCTCAGTGGTTAAAACAAAATTTTACCTAATATAACAAGTTTGTTTGAATGTCACTTCCTCTTCACTTGAGCTGTTTTTTCACTTTCCTTACTTAGATTTCTCCTCTCGTGGGGGCAGACTAGTGCGAATGGTGTGGGACACATTGCAAAAATTAGGGTGACAAGATGCTCACTGATGGCCCAACATTGGTCGACAGCAGATCGTCAGCTTGGTGTGTCAGGCCCCTTAGGATGAATTGTTAGAAATTTGCTGTTTTCTTAATTTAATTTAGTGACTTCAATAGATCACGCAAAACTTGTTTATGACTATATACCTGTAAGAGCAGTGGCAATCCTATCAGTCTCAGCTGTACCTTTTGGGTAGTACTAATTAGGTTTTTTCAACACTCAACAAAGTGGTTGTGATTAAACCGATGTGGATCATTTTTTGAAGTGTTGGGAAAGCATTGACAGTGATGCAGTCCCGCTGATAGAGATAGACACATCAGAGAAAATTTTAAAGGCAACAAGACACAGTGTATTTTGTTTTAGTTTGGAAAACTTGTTGGAAAAGGATTCACAAAAAATGTTGTGACACAAAGAGGGCAACAAGAAGAGGTTGTATAACTCACTTTATTATAAACGACACAGGCCACGAAGACAAATCTGCAGCTTGTGATTTCTGGTAAACTGACAGCAAGTGTATTTATCTCTGTAAAGGATCCAGACTGCACATCACTGCTAATTAGGTTTCAGCAGCACAATACAGTATCTTTTCTTTGATTTTGAAATGCCTTGAGAGTCATTCTGTTTTCATCCAAGGGTGCCTCTTTGCAGAAGTTCCTCCTTATTTAGAGAGGTTGATATCTGCCAAGCACAGAAATGTAAGAATCCCATCAGCAGAATGGCGCCAGTCAGTCTACGAACAGACTAATAACAGTAGAGAGCTCATTGCATTTCTTATTAATGTTAAGACTTCCACATTTTTCAAATTACATATTAACAATACATGAGGTGTTATCATCTTTCAAGCAATGCTTAATCCAGTTGCCAGTTCCACAAGATTTTACCAAAATCCCGAACTTTGATACAATTAAAAATACTTCATATGATTTATATATTGAGTCTTTTTTTCATGTTTATTTAAAATTGAATCCGTCTGTACTCAAGTATTGTTATCTACAAAAAAAGACAAAGTAGGACACACCTGATGGAACACATATTCTGCTTTAGACAGCAGAATGAAGCCATGGAATGATGAATAAATGAACCAGCAGTTTAAGATGGCTGTTGCTTTTTGAATTAAAAAAAAAAAAAAAATCCTGTTAAATGAGACTTCTTCTTCTTCTTCTTCTTCTTCTTTCGGCTGTTCCCTTTAGGGGTCACCACAGCGAATCATCTGCCTCCATCTAACCCTATCTTCTGCATCCTCTTCTTTCGCACCAATTGACTTCATGTCCTTTTCACTACATCCATAAATCTCCTCTATTAAATGAGACTGTAATACCTGGATAATTAAGAGATTAGTTGACATGTATACCACATATTAATGCCTTGTTAGAATTCTACACTTAAATGAACTCAAGGATTACGGACAGCTAAAACACATTCTAATGCTACCAAATACTCACAGACCTAAATGTAGCCCTTAAGAACAAATGCGTTGGCTGATAATCGACTCATTAATTATCTTCGTGGTTCAAGAATTTGCACCCGTTTCTAAAGAGACACATGAAAACCCTACCCATACCCAGGGTGCAAATTGAATTTCCAAAATGAAGAGACCCAAAGACAGTCAGACCCAGTCTAAAATTTACCTGAAGATAATTCAACCCAATCCAGAATGTGTTCCACCTAAACAAAGAACAAGCGGCCTTATTACAGAAAAATATTCAAACTGCTTGTCCTATGTTGACTTAAGTTTCAAAGACAGTAAAAATCTTAGTTTCCTTTTAAACCACATTTCCACTAAACACCTTAGGTGCAGTCTCCTTCAAACCTGTATATATCCTGTACAGGCATGTACCTAAGCCTTACATCTGTTTAGCATTTCCACCACAGACAATACTCTTGAATGAAGGCAGGGTTGTTAGTAGATAGTAATAGCCACATCTCTGCCCCATCCAGCTCTCGCAGTATTTCCTCTTTATCTGTGATAAGGAGGAACATCTTCACACCGCCAGTCGTCCATGGAACTGGGTTGTGCATCCACGTCCTCAGAACAGGACAGAACAGGCTGGAGTGTTTAGAGTCTCTGTTGCAATTGAATATTGAAAAAAAGTGGGTTTGTGCATTGAATCCATGGAGAACAAGACTGATGATTCTTTCTTGAACATTAAACAGACTGCAGTGTTTCTCGCTTCCCCTTTTAATATTGGATCAGTGCGCCAGGTACCCAAACAGAGGGGTGATGAAAAAACAGGACAGAATGGAACTATTCTTTTGGTACCATCCACAACTTTTGACAATAGAAAAGCAAAAATAACTATTCTGGTGTGTAACGAATTGCTTGTTAAATTTATATCTTTAAGTAACTGACAGATGACGCATTTTCAAGGCTTAGGTGAACATTAGAGCTCTCCTGGTTGAGTCATCAATCAATTCAATCAATCAATTTTATTTGTAAAGCCCAATATCACAAATCACAATTTGCCTCACAAGGCTTTACAGCATACGACATCACTCTGTCCTTATGACCCTCACAGTGGATAAGGAAAAATGCCATCAGTCAAAGCCCAAACAATGAACAACTGTGTTAGAAAACAAGGTCAGGGGCACATTAAGAAGTAAGGAAAATGTCAGTTTTCTAAGGAAAAATGTCAGTTTTCTAAGGAGTAGCCCAGAGTCCTGCACAGCTCCATTTTTCATTTTTGAAAACCTGCACCCGCCCGTACCCGTAAAGCCCAGTACCAGAACCGACCTCTTACCCATCATGTCTAAGTCAAAGACACACCCGCCCACACCTAGTAGTAAAAGTCCCATGACCAGACAATCCACTCATGATTGAACTTACTTTAGCTACAGTCACTCACATTAAGCTGGGTTCTCCGTTCTTGAATTACAAATATAACAGAGAGAAACATCTCTTTGACCGGCTGCGCTCGATGTCCGGATGGTGAAAACATTTTGCGCAGGCACTGCCGGGTTAGGAAACATTTTAGCATGCTCCTTTCACCACCATAGAAACCTCAAAAGGATCCTCCTCAGGTGTCTTGAACCCGATGGAGGCTGCCACCTCATCCTCGGGCAAGGTTTTAGGGCTAGAATCCTACATGTTGGAGACAAATGTGACAACAGGGTCAAAGGTTTAACTTGTATGTGTGTGTGT